ATGCACTTAGTAGCAATCTTCGTGCAGCTCGTCTTATTGGTTATTCATCGCGCGATATCGAACATCTAATAGCTATTATTAAGGTATATAAGTTAAACATCTTTTAAGAAAGAACAAATATCTATTTTTTAACTTATAAATAAAAATCTTAATCCTGTTTTTTGAAACGCTCTATGTCCTTTGCATGTGTACATAACGCTTAGTGTTATTTGCACGCGTAGATATATGAAAATTTAATACACTTCTATTTCTTATTTTATTGCTTGATATTTCTTCGAACATGCATACCTCTACTAACCAATTACTGTGTGCTCTGCTTGGGTACTTGCTGTTCAGCCTTCTTCTTAGCTGTGGCTTTATAGGAATATTTGAAGTTAAATAATTGATACAAATTATTGAAAATCAAATATAAATACTTATCAAAAATGTTAATATGATTTTAATTAAAAAATACAAAATTTGATATTATTAAAATGTTAAAATCAATGCGATAAATTTATCAGAATATTGGAACTGTTGTAAATTACAAAAGTACATGCAACAATAGAAGTAAGGTTTGCTTACTTTATTTATTTAAACTGTATATATACAGAAGGGTTTATATGGAATTTATTTTTCTGACCAAAGAATACCCTTTTCAATGACTAAATGCATATTGTCTTTACTTGTTCTTACGTAAATGCTTCCGTTAGATGAGTTTCTAAGAACATTCAAAGTTCGAATTGGATATCACAGGTAAATGACATTTCCATCATATTTTCATAGGATTTGTCTACTCTATAAATTCTTTGCTCATATACAAGAATCAAAATTACTAGTAAAAAGTTCCTCAGGAGAAATGAGATTTGGAGTACAGGAGTAAAAAGTTAGATCTTCGTACAAACCGTGACAGACATTAACATATGGTCAAAGATCGTATCTGAATAATGTCTCGTTATGATATATGAACTACTTCCTTATTGCATTTCTGGAGGGTTACTTTCAAGTATATTGAAGAAATGTGTCCTAAAATAAATAGAATCAAGCAATCTATATATAAATAGCAATTGAATTTGTATTATCGTATTTCAGATTTTAATCTGACAGATATTGCGCTAACAGCTTTCTTTCTCGTAGTAACTTTATTCAAAGCATTTGATATCTCTTTCGATACCATTTAACACACTTTGGCAGTATAGAAAGAATTTTCACTCTATAGACCGTGACGGACACCTTGCATCTCATAACTTTTGCATTTCTGGAAGATAAAATATAACGACGATAAAGAAATGTGTCATAGAATAAAGCAATCTGCCTGTGACTAGCAAAAGTAACTACATCGTACTTGACATTCTAATCCCACAAGTAATGTGCTATCTAATTGTCTTTATTATTTTCATAGATTAACAAGATATGCATAACTTTACATGAAATAGTTCGTTCAAATTCAAATTTATTTCAAATAACAATTGATGTAAGCGTACTAGATTAAGAAGAAAACTTCAAAACAGAATACACACATGATTTCTAATCTTATATATATCCTTTTTTTTGTTATATTTCATTTTAGAAAATAATACATTCATTGTGAACTTATATTAAGTAATTAATAGTATGTAAAATGCCAGATGGGTCTGATGCTTGCTTATAAAATTATATATATTTATACTAATCACATGCTTATACATATCTAATCATTATCTGCACATTGTACACATGATAAATGGACAAAGAGTGATCATTTGAGAACAGACAATTATAATCGAAAAAGAAATTCAATTATTTTTATTTCTAAAATTTCCAAATTTAGACTCTCAATCGAGAGACTCAAGGTGAAGAAACACATGTAAATACAATACGTACTAAATATAAAACTTTTTCATCGGATTTAACTGATCAAGAACGACAACAAACAGAAACAATAATTAATAAAATTCAAGTAGATTATTTTGTTTTATTTGAATCTCTAAAAATAATGATAATAATTTTCATTGTAATAGGTTGAATTAGAACAATTACAAGAACAAATAGAAAAACGTCATGAACGTTTAAATTCTTTATTTCATCAACGTCAAGAATTAGATCAAACATATGGTCATTTTATTGTTTGGTTTGACGATAAACAACGTTTAATATCTCTTGATCAAACAATACCATTAAAAACAGCGGAAATTGAACGATTACTAAAGAAATATTATGTATGATAAAATCGAGCTGTTTTATGTTCTCTTGTAAAAATTTCATTGATTTTTTTTTAAAATTAGGATGCATTGAATGAAATTAAAGTTCAACGAGTTACACTTGATAATATTATTAAATTAAATGAAAATGTTAAACAAGGTTATTATTTTGAAGATAAAACTGAATATGATCTTCATACAGATGGTTTGTATTTTAGATAAAAAATTCGTTTTTTTTTTTTTATAAACTTCTGTTTTTTTTTTTGATAGAATTCGTTCGTAAAATGAATAGTTTAGAAGAAACACTTAATGATCGTTATCGACATTTAAATTTAGCTAATGAACAACGATGTGATTTTGATCGAATTATGACTAAGCTTAATGAATGGATTAAAAATACTGAACAACAACTTAAAGATCCATTTACAAATGATCTTCAACAAACAATTAATATTCTTAAAGAAAAATCTAAAAGTATACAAGTAAGAAAATATTAATATGCAATTGTGATTTAGAAATTTTGAGAGACAAAAATCGAAAGTTGATTGGAATGTCTTTTATTATTAAATCTTGTTGGAAGGATCTTCCGAGGAGATATTAACACATGCATATCTCATCCACGTAAGCAAAGGCGAACGTGGAACTCATAAAAACAGAACAATGCGGGCGCTGAACTTTGTCATCTGGAATTTCACTTGCTTTTTCGGCTAATCCAATTTCTTAATCCTTTTTTTCAGTTGGTCAGGTTTAATTAGGCTCCTAATACACTGAATCAGATTTGTATACTCCATTTTGTTCGACCGATCAAATCCTTCAGATAAAGTCTTGTTGCTGAGCTCGAAAAGATTTGATTGACTAAGGAAAGCCATGGAAAAACCTTATTGACTAAGAAAATAACACGAATATCGTCGCCTTCCTACTCAGTACTACTGAGAATTAACGACTAGAATATCTTCAATCGTAAAAATTCAGTTTTTAACTTATTAGAGATTTAGCCATTTGTATGGCTCTGAATGAATTTTTTTTCTCTTGCATATAACAACCGACTCATTTTTCACTTTAGTCAATAGTACTGAAATCCAGCATTTAAGTCATTCTTAAAATGAATACTCACGTCCAACGAAACGAATGTATGAGAGTCAAAGAAAGAGAAAGTTTTCTCTAATGAGTGAAGTACCCTAACTGATAAGTCGATTTTGAGTCGAGACTACATGCATTATGTATACCCAAATGAGCTATGAGTATCCTGAAAAGAGTTTGTGCCCTTAGTGCATTGTAGCAGATATATTGCATGGAATTCCGTGGTTCCCTTAGGAAAAACAGTGGTCATTAAGAAAAAAATGCCGTAAAAGTATAGTATATGTAGAGCAATCAGCTAAGGGTATGATTTCTTTTCAGGGCATTCGTAGCTCATTAGAGTCCGTCGGATTCAAAGTGTTCGAGCCCGGATCTGAACCAGCTGGAATCGTAATGTAATGCTCTCATTGAAATTTTCTTATCGGAATGGAACAGTCGCCCAAAAAATATGCGATATTTATTTTCCAGATTTTTTTTTGTATTCGTTAACTAGTGCATCCTACATATTTTGTAAGACGACTAGAGCCGGACGGATTATATTTTACATAATGTACTTAATCTCAGCTCCAAAGCTATTTATCAATTGATAGACTTCCCTTGTAAGAACCTATAAATAAAATGATATATTTTCACTTTTTAATCTCTCTCGATCGTTTTAATTTATATTTAGGCTTTATTTCAATCAACAAAAGATCGTATGAATGAATTCGAAGATTTAACACGTATTCATGGCATTGTTGCATCAACATTGAACGATGCTGAACAAATAACATTAAACGAAAAATATACCGTACTTAAAGATAAATACAATCGTTTATTAGATAGTTTAAATCAACGTATTGTTTTACTCGATGAAGCAATTCGTAAGTTAAATTAATAAAAATAAAGAACAAAGAAGCTTATTTTTATTTTTCATAAGATGAACGAAATGAATTCGATCAACAAAATGATCGTCTTCAAGTATTTTATAAACAAGTAGAAAATGAATTTACAAAACAAAAACAACAAAAACTAAATGATATTAATTATCCATCAAATGAACGACGTTTAGAACAATTTAAACAATTATTAAAACAACTTGATGAAACAACAAATAATTTTAAAGAAGTAACACGTATACAACGTTTATTAACTAATAAAGGTCATCGTATTGATTTTCGTATGGGTGGTGAATTAAATGCAAATTTAAAAAATCTTGATGGACAAATACATAATGAAATTGAACGAATTGAAAGAGCTTTACAAACTGAAAATGATTTTCATCATTTAGATAAAGAACTTGATTCATATTTACAAATATCTTCAGAACAATTAAAATCATCTCAACATCATCAAGATAAAGGAATTATTTTTCAGGTGTTTTTTTGTTTCTTTGTTTGTTCTTTTTTTTTCAATTTTTGAAAATGAAATCATTTCTTTTGTTTTCTTTAAGACTGTTTCTGATCGTTTACAACAAGCTGAACATGAATTAAATAAATTAAATCAACTTAGTGAACGTCTTGTTAATGATCTTCCACGTTCACAATATGAACAATTAAAACGTATTATTGAACGTCGTCAAGAACGTCTTCTTACATTAAATAAAACATGTCAACAAGCACGTGGTGAACATGAACATATGATTAAAACACAACATAAATTAAATGAAGATTTAATAACAATTAATGATTGGTTTAGAAGACTTATACAAGATTTAAGTCAACCATTTGAACTTAATTTATCATTAAATAATGTAAATGATCTTCGAGATTCAATGAATGTAAGTTTTATTTAAATATAAACAATGATAAAATATGCAAAAAATTTTTCAGCAACTTGCAATATCAATCGATCAACGTTTAGTTCGTATTGAACAAGCTCTTCGTGATGAACCAAATCTTATCAATTCAAGTGATGCAGAAATTCGAGAACGTTTAAATATTGTCGAAGAACTTAAACATCAAGTTAAAGTAAGTTATCTATTTTCAAATCGAAAATTATACATCCATTTATATAGAGTCATCTTAATAAACAACGTATTATTCTTGACGATGTACATCAAGGTATCACACAATATATTAAACTTACTACTGAAGTGAAAACAGTTATTTGGTATGATAAAGCTTGACTCAATTAATCGATTGGTTTGGTTTTTTTTTTTGTCATTTTTTTTTATAGTGATGCTGATTTTAAATTAGCACCATTTTTTGATGGTTATGATCGTAAACGTCTTGATGAACATGAAAAAGAATTAAATGTAGACCTTTTCTATTCTTTTAAATTTTTGTGAATAATTTATTTTTATTTTTTTAATTTTTCAGTTTCTCGAAGAAGTCTGTGCTGAACAAAATTATCGTTTAGTTGAAGCACATAAAATAGTCGAAACATTTCGATCACATTTACGAAGTAATGCTAGAGATCTATGTGATAATCAACTTAGAAATTTTCAACAAACAATTGAAGATCTCGNCTATCATCACCTTCAGCCCAAGCACTATAAAAAGTTTATCACATAATTACTAACTAGTCTTTAGTCTTGATCTAGTACGACGATCAGTTGAAATGAAGAGTTTTATTAAAGATCTTGACATGGAAAATTCACATGTATCTGAAATCAAAGAACTTATTTTAACATTAGTTGATAAAAAATATGATCAACAACTAATTCGTTCATTAGAGAAAAAACAAGAAGATGCTTTAAATGATCTTCAATGGTAGATAATTATCTTAGAATTCATCTTCGTCAAATTCATTGTTTTTTGCTTTTCAGTTTAAAAAATGAAGCCATAAAAACCATTGAAAATCTTGATCATCAACTTCAAGAACAAGAAAAGTTAAGACAAAATGCTCGAACAATGTTATCAATTATTCAACGTACTAAAGTACAATTAATTGAATTACGTCCAGCAATGAGTAATGAAGCAAATCAAAAACTTGAAGTTCGCATTGTTTATTTCTTTCCTTGATCTTAATTTAAACTTCCTAAGTTTGTATTTTTTTTTCGTGTTTTAGAAAATCGATGAAGATTTAACAAAAAATTTTCATCTATTCGAACAATCCTTAGACGATTATAAAAATGATTATGGAAATTTATCAGATGATTTAGATAAAATAATCATTCGAGTTTATGAAGATATGGATGATATTAAAGTTCGTTTTAATGAAAAAACATCAGAATTAAATGATTATAATATTCTACGTGATGAGTATGAAAATTGTATTGACAATATTTCAAAAATTTCTCAAATTATTGAAGCAAAAACTCGAAAAACAAATGTAAAATTAAATTTAGATTCATTAAAAGTAAAGACGAAATTTAAGAAGACGAAAACAGTTTCTGTTTGTCATTTATTAATTTCTAGGATTTAACAGTTGAAATGCAAGCACATCGTTCATTACTTGATCGTTTACAATTACTTTCATCAACGTTAACATCACAATTAACAGATTCAAATGAACGTGATCGTATACGACGTCGTCTTAATGAAGTAACACGTCGATGGGCAGAACTTGAACAAAATGTACTTAGTGAAGAAGAAGAAATAACAGAAATGAATCATGTTATTCAACAATATAAAGATATTAATTCAATATGTGAACATTGGTTAAGACAAGCAAAAGATTTAATTAATGAATTAACAAATACAAAAGCTATTGAGATTTTTGATCAACTTATTCCAAAAGCTAAAAATATTTTAACAGAATATCAATCAATATTTGAACATTTAGAACGATTACGAAATAGACTTAATCGAATGATTCAAACTAATCGAACACCAGAAGGAACATTAAAGGTACTACGATTTTAGAATTTATCTGATAAAACTCTTACGAAAATTTTTTTCTAATCCAACTATCTTACAAAATTAGCTTTTTCGACAGTCAATTTTTCGTTTCCTCTTTGTTTATAGTTTTTTTTTATCACTCAACCTAGAATTCTCGAACGAGCTTCATTGTAGTCAATTACTTGTTTCTTCCGTTTGAAATAACAAATCAAGTTGCAAAATCTAACAGAGCTCATGTTTTGCATTAAGCATCATTTTTACTTATATGTAAAAGCAGGTCTATGAATAGATGCCCATTTTTAGAGACTTTTTTTTTGGGGGGGGGGGGACATGTGTACTTTCAAACAAAACAAAAACTTAAATATATAGAATAAGGATCGACAGAAAACTTCAGGTTATCGAATGAGCTATTTTCCACCCTTGTTTGATGAATATCACTCGAAAAGGTAAAACTTTAGAGCAACAAGTTTTACCATAGTCTCTTCACGATAGCCTTAACATATCCTAAGAATTTCACGTGATTTGAATGTACACAAGCTCAGAACAATTATTCTTAGGGAGGGAAAAAGCGCTTAGGTGAATACATACTTTTAACAGTATCTGATTTTTTCCGAATCAATTTTCAGCATATGCAAACATATTTAAGATTAATGTGCACTTCAATACTATCATTCGGAAGAAGCTTAGTTTCACGAAAGAGAAAGGAGATTGATAGTTTTTCATAAACTTGACCGAATAGAAGGATTAGCCATGCATATCTCACTATTGAATCTAATTCAGCCGTTGAAAACTCGATCAATAGTCATTTGTTAAGTTGTACATTTCTATTATTTCCTTATATTATCGCTGTTGGTATCAAAGCTCTTAATAAATTCAATTTTACCATCTTCCCGTAATAAAGTCATACTAATTATGGAAGGAGTTCGCTAACCAATTAATAGCTGTTAAGCTGGGACTTTGTGCATCTTGCAGATTCGCATGAATTACAAATAAACTGAAAGAAGTCCAAGTTCTTAGCTTATTGGCATCAAGATATTGCGTTTTTGTAGTATTTTTTAAGTTAATGCCGTGTTTCCTGCCAAGAATACTAGGAAAACTCATTTTCGAATTTTTTACCTGAAGCTTTGCATAGAGACAGGCTTTAACGAGAATATTTTATTATGAAACTTCATTAGGATCTACATAATGCACATAGTCTCAAGTCAAAAAAGATTAATCAGTTAGAAGACTTCTTTCGTGAGTCGTTCTTTGTGAAAAAGCATGCAGTCACACATATTAAATTTTGAAATTATACATTTCATATTGATCGATTCTTTTTTTTAGTTGACTGAAATCGATCGACTTCTAAAAGATTTAATAACACATCGTGAAAAACTTGAACAATGTCTTGATTTAAGTCATAAAATTCATTTTCAATTAAATGAATTTAATAAACAATATCTTTTTTATGAACAATGGATTAATAATATTCAACGAACAATTGAAACAATACTTGAAGAAAAATTAACAGTCGATGAAAAATTACAACGTTTAAATGATATACAAATTGAATTAGATAAACGAAAACAAATTCTTAATAATCTTACACATGATTATCCACAAATAGATCAATTAATAATTAAATCTATTCAAAAATTAATTGGAAATATTGAAAGAATCAAAACCAATGTTACTCGAAAACAAGAAGTAAAAACAAATGATGATTAAAATAAAATGTGACTATAAGGCTTTGTCTACGCAGCAAGTTATTTGTAGAGAAACACTTCCTCTATCTAATGATGTACGCCGTATACATTGATAATGAATACACTCACTATTAGATACAGAAAGTTGTTCTGTATGAACCTACATCTACTCATTTCTGTAGTTAGAAAGAATCGAAAAACTTATAGTTAGTTGTCTCTTATTGATAATTTTTCATTTTAAAAGGAATATGAACAACAAAATCGACAACAAAAAGATTTTCATGAACGTATTGAAGTATTATTCGAATGGATTAAACAAACTCATCGTTATGAACCATTAAATGATAAACGTGATATAGAATCTCTTCAACGAGAATATGCGCGATTAAATGAAAAACAACAACAAATTAATGAGAAATCAAAAGATATTGATGCACTCTTACGAAATATTAATAAGTTAGATCAATCAAAGATTATTATTCATAGAAATTCTTTTTATTTATTTATTTTTTTTTCAGTTCTAAATTACCAAGTGATTCTTTACAAAAATTACGTCAAGAAATTGATCATTTGAAAGAACGTACCACTGAATCAACGAATGAACTCGAAACAAGAAATAAATTTATTAAAAAAACAATTCGAGTAAGACAATGCATGAGAATGTTAAGTAATGCATGTATAGAAACTTGAATTTCTTTGTATGAAACTATAATTGTATCGTTTAAAAAGTTTTCACGAGACAATTCTTTTTTCAAAATTTACAACGGACAATATCGAAACTGAAGTGAAGTTGTACTCGGTCTAAAACACTTTACATGAAAAATATGCTTCATAATATTCTATTTTCATACGATCTGAATTTATATCAAAAGATTGATCATCATTCTTGTTCAGGGGACTTTAGCAGAGATATTGCATTTTTATGGTTTTTCTGAAAATTAATGCCATGAGCTCCCTTCGTAAGATCAGGAATACTTATTTTCGAAATCTTACTAGAAATTGTTCACAGACACAGATCTTAACAAGAATAGTTTATGACAGGAATTTCAGAACTTCTCGATATCCCTATTCTGAGATACGATTATGATAAAAGAGTGTCTTTTACATCGCTGCTATGCACTGACAGGTTTGATATTCTTAATATTAGGATAGAAGCAAAACAAAAGACTTAAAGTTTTCACAGTGAATTATTTTCGTTGATACTTGTCTCTGTGTAAAGTTTCAAGTCGAAATTCAAAAATGAGTGATTCAATATTCTCAGTGTATTCATAGTTCATCAGATTCTACATGATGTGCATAGCTTCGATTAGATATGCGCAAGATGATCTTGAGATCAGAACCAACACTTTCATCGGAAGCTATATCTTTTATCGACGTGTAAAACATTGCATCGCATGTCATATTGCTATGACTCACGTGTTATAAATAGAGATGGATATTATGGTCCTGATTTACAATCGGTTAATTCATTGAAGAACTTTCTTCATTAATATAGAACAACTCACACTCTCAATTACGCTCGATAAATATCATCTTCTATATTTCCTACTCAATAGTTTTATTAAGCTGAAGTTAACCTACGTGTGAAAGAAATTGTCAGACTTTATTTTTTCGTCCAATAAATTGCATTCACAACAGTATCTTTCTCTCACTGATCTTTATTTATGTTTATACACATATTCACTATATTCATGCATGAAAAAAAAACAATCACTTTATCAATAGGATGTCGATGAATTACAACGAAAGCAACGTAGTTATCAAGAATCACTAAATAAACTTCCTTCACTAGTAGAGCATGATCAACAAATACCAGGCAGAGTAAGCACATATATACATATATCTATAAAATAAATAATAAGAATAGAAAAATTCTATATTTATAAATTTTAGTCTGTCGAAGATGCATTAAAATCTCTTGATGAACAAAGAATTAAAATTGAAACACAAAACGATGAACGAGAACGACGTAAACGTCAATATGAACGTGAATGGCATTTATTCATGGATGAAATAAGTTTATTACAAGATAAATTAAATACATTAAAACAACGAAAAGGAAATACATATGATACAATTGAAGAACAACTTTATTTTATACGAGTAAATTGAAATTCTTTAGATTTTGGAAAATTTCAAGATTTTTGTTTTTGTTTTTTTTTCTTCTTAGAATCAAAATCAAGAATTAAATCAATATCAAGATGAATTAACACATTTAAAAAAACATGGACAAACTATATGTCTTGAAGATGGAAATTCATTACCATTACCTTCAGAAATTCATCTTCTACAATCTATGATAACTTATCTAAAACAACAAGTCTATATATATATATACATACTTTCTTTTTTTTTGAAATTCTTTATAAATCTTAATGTTTTGTTTTTAGTTTGAACAACGTCATGAAATTTTAATTGAAGCTCAACGTTGTCGTGATATTTATTTAACTGAATGTAAATTATATGAAGATGCCTATAGTTTATGTATGGAACGTTTAAGTCGTTCAATGCCAATACCATCTACAAATGATGAATATGCACGTCAATTACATGAACATAAAAATTATAATGAAAAAATGGATGAAAAACGTCGTCATTTAAATTTTTTATATGATAAACTTGATCGTGAAACACGTACACGTTATTTTAAACAACATCTTGATTTAGAAAAACGTTCAAATGATTTACAAGATAAAATAATTCAACAAACAATACGTTCCGAATATTTCTTACGTATATGGAAAGAATATCAAACAAGACTTAATGATATAATTTATCAATTAAATGATATTGAAAAACAATTATCATTAAATAAACGTTTAATTCAATTTCAACAAATACAATCAACTTTTGTTCTCTATAAAGTTTGAATTTATTTTTTCTTTTATTTGTTAATGAAATTTTACTTTTTTCTTAGGATTTAAAACAACGTTTAATATTAATTGAACCAGAATTATTACATTTAAATGATGAAATACAAACACTTTGTAGAGAATTAAATGTAATTTCATTAAAAAATGATATTCAAAATGTGAAAGAAAATTTTAATCGAATTGCAAGTGATATTAGAGAAAAATTCGATAGGTAGAATTTATTTCAATAATATTTTATTGATGTTATATTTCGTTTTTTTTTAGTCATAAAGCTGCAACAGCTCTTGCTAATGATATAAAACGTAATTTAGCTATACTTGAAGATACATTAGGACAATGTTCAAATGAATCTCAAACACGTTATGATGGAGATGTTAGTGAACTTAAAATTCAATTAGAAAAAATGATGGTATGTTCGAAAAATTTTGTTCTTTTTTTTTTTTCATTTGAAATAATCAATTCGTTTTAGGATGTAGAAAAACGTCTTGAAAATATTGCAGATATTTATTCAAATACAATAACATTAATAAAACGTTTAACAACTTATAATCTTTATGATTTACAATCAATAGAAACAAATTTAGAAAGTTTTCATCATAAATGGACATCTCTGAAAGTGAGATGAAGAATTCAAAATTTGATATGAATAAATTTTTGTTGTTTTTATTGGATTCTTTTAGACAGAAGTTTTACGAAATGAAAATATTCTTCATCAAAATATTATTAATAATTTACCATCAAGACAAGCTTGTAAAGAAATGTTTGTATTTGTTGATACAATTAAACGATTATTGGATGATGATCATGGAGCACAAATTAATAATAAAGAAACTTTACAAAAATTAATCAAACGATATCGAGTATGTTTTAGACCAAACTAATATTATCTTGAGCTTAATCATTTAGATCTTTTAATGTTATCTTTGAAAAAAAGACTACATGACTGAAAGCATTGAATACATTTTCCTGTAGTTTCATTAATATTTCTTTTTATAAAAGAAGTTCATTTGAATAGGATATGCGTGTTGATGTACTCAATCATCAAAGAACAATTGATTTTCTTAATGAATCATTTCAACAAGAAGCTAATGTAGATTTAACAAGTATTGATTATATGGAAAATATCAAACAAATTAATATTGATTGGATTAAAATAAAGTCATTGATTTCAGCTCGAATTGATGTAAGAATATATATGGGGATGGTCAATTTGACTGGTACCCCGTTTTGATACAGTCCTATTGTACGGATAAAACCTACTATTGTTCGGGCCATATAATAGAGGATCCTATATAACCCTGGATTGGCCCGAACAACACCATGTCTTATCCGTATAATAGTAGAGAAAAGCTACTAGCCTCAATCGTGAGCTGGTAGCTTTTTCCTACTATTGTAAAGATAAAACTTAGTGTTGTTCGTGCCAATCCAGGGTTATATAGGATCCTCTATTATATGGCCCGGACAATAGTAGGTTTTATTCGTACAATAGAACTGTATCAAAACGGAGTACCAGTCAAATNCTTGTTTTTCGTTATATGTTTTTTAGAGAGAAAAAGCATGTTGATAAGATAGAATTCAAAGGTCACTTCAGTAATTTCTCGAAACACTCTAAAAACTGAGTGGATGGGTCCAGGTGTAAAATTTGCAAGGGCTTTTCTTAAACGCACACCCAACTGGACTTACGGAAAGTAAAGTCATCACTACTAACTAATGGGAAAGTTTCTACTTATCGACTATAGAGACAGCTTACAAAACGAAGTATTAGATGTTGTAACTATTGATAACAACAATGTAATGAACTTCAATAAAGCTTATAAAAGAAGAAAATAAGCTGTAATTTATATCCTATGTAGAATACGTGCATACGCAGGTGTGTACTTATTCAAAAAACCGGTTCTTGAATTTATGGACACGGTTCAATATCACCGAATATGATATTGAGTAATTGATTGAATATATCTGAATTGAATAGTTCAGACACTCTTGAGACATAATAATTGCAAGAGTAATACATCAAAGACTTTAGGATTTAATAAGTGTGCAGAGAATATTTATTTACTTTTTGGTTCATTTTAAAATCAACATTTTTTATCATGTCTATGTTCAACATTATACTGTCTAAAGAACAGAAGGTTTTGGCAATGATACTGTAGTATAAAGTTCTCGCTTTGAATCAACATCTAAAATTAGGAAGTTTTCTTGTTTGATATCATCGTGTAGTTTACAATAGATTTCTGAAGTTCAATCAATACTATTTGTTTCTCATTTAAATTTTCTTAGTTCCGTGAAATTTTGAAATGATGGTAGAGAAAATCCCTGGAAAACTGAGTTTACTTATCAAAAATTTTCAAAAATCTAGTATCTAATATAATATTCCTATGGCAATGGCTTGCACGGTCAACTTAAACCTCTAATGACAATATATTTCTGCTGATGAAATACAACAGAGTGAATATTTGATTACGAAATCAAATAAAATATCTCTGCAGCGATTCCCTATCGAATCATTTATGAAAATCAGAAAGAAAAACAAATTTGAATTGATATTTTTAAGTTAATAAACACGATAGTATGACAGGTGGCGTGCATTATTATTGTAAAACCAAATTAAAATAGAATTAGAAACTTTTGAGTAAGTCAGTTAGAAAAAAAAAAGAATTTGAACTATCGCATAATACTTTGTCAAATAATTATCTGTCTGGACAAATAAAATTTTTTTATTATATTTTTGTGTTGATGAATCATATAAATAATATATCCTGAACTTAATAAATGTAATGTTTTGAAATAGAATATTTACAAAATTTTTATTAAATCATCGATTTATTTCTTCAAATAATCGATGGATCATTTAATTATGCTACTAGACAATGATGACAAAAATAATAATTATGATCACATAAAGTTTGTTGTCATTGTTTCTACTATAATTATACGTATTTGAGTTTCAGCAGGCACATGCTAATACATGTATTTATTTATATATAAATAAGTTGATATTGTTTCAGTTATAGAAAAGGAAAAATCGATTGTATTGATTATTCTTCGATTTTCGTGTGTCATTGGTTTATTTACAGGCGAACATAACAAACAATAAAACAAAACAGAAGAGAGAATAACTCAACACAGTTCATTTGCTATTCTTTTGTAAAAAGAAATTATCGACGCTTATGTTTTTCTTTGCTTCCTCAACAACAATAACAGAATTTCTCTTCTCACATTTGTGCAACAGCTCATCACTAATCGTGAAAGATAGAGAAAATCTAATATTTTAGACTTATTTACATACTGGTAGTTCATCGACATACACATTCATATGTTTTTTTCTTTCTTTTATCTTTGTAACTACTATTTTTCATAATTGGCAACTTGTATATCTTTTTTTTATTTTTCTATTGCAATCAATCGGTCAGCCTCATAAGTACGAATGTCAAACAACATGACAATACTGAAAAAATGTTGATTGGATTAACAAGCTCATTTGGTTATTTCTTTCTTCTTCTAAACCTAACATACTACCAACAATTAGTTATTCTCAAGAAACAGTCATTGATGATCAACAGAATACTATAATAGCGGAAGTCATGTTGTTTTTTTTTTCCTAATAGTTAGTTACAATAATATACTATATTTAAGAGTTTTCTTTTTTTTTACAGAATCATCCCATCCTAAAGCATGTCGGTGTATAGTTAGCAATTGATTGATTGCATGAGGCGGAAAAAAAACAGTTTAGAAGGAAGAATTCATAGAAGGAAAGAAGAAATTAGATAACAATGTTGTAAGATGCAGAAACAACAAGAAAAAAAGAAAACGAATAAAACATAGACACGCAAAAAAAAAAAAAAACATAGTCTATATTTATTATATTGTCGACATTTTTTCTCTTCATATTAATATTTAGATCAATGAATTGAATTGAAATGAATGGGCACCAAATCATTTCGATCATATTTTATTTTATTATTTTGCTTAATTATTTTTAATAATCATATAAATGCTGATCAATATAAACTTGTTCTTCATAGTTTATTTACACAATCATCTTATCCATCAATTAAATTTGCTCTTAAACAGATTGCATCACTACAGATGGATATTATATTTGAACTTAATACAAGAGAAGATATTATTATTCCTGTAGGTTATTTTTAAATAATAATAAATCTTCTATTATGATTCTTTCTTATTGTTTTTGTTTCTAGTGTGATGTTGGTACAAGTGTAAAAATACTTTTTGATATAATTAATAAAACAAATTTATCGAATGTTTTGATAAGTGATGCTTGTCAAAATGTACTTAGTTATATAGCGGAAGCAGCAACTTATTTTCATATACCAGTTGTATGTATTTTTCGTATAAAAGAATACTTCGTTGATAATTTGATTATTTTTTAGTTTTCATTTACTGAAAGTGATTTATCTTTATCATCGATTGATCGTTATCCATTTTTTTATCATATTGTACCATCAGATCGTGATCATAATTTAGTACGAAAACAACTTTTACAATATTTTAATTGGACACGATTTGGATTAATTTATCAACATGGATCAAAATATACATTGGTTAGTTCATATTCTTTTATATTGTGAATTAGAATATTGATCGAAATAATATTTAATCAATAAGAAAGAATCTTATTCGTAGTAGAACTACTAAAGAAAAAAAAAAGATAATTAAGTCAATAGAGTAGAAAAATAGAATCGAAAAGATATATCTGAATACAATTTTTTTTCTTCACTTGATTATTCTATTAATAAGAAAATCTTATTAACATCACTCATGATTCCTTCATTTATTTATCAAACTTATTGATGTTTAAAATAAACAATTCGATCGATAGTGAAGTCTATTGGGAACATAGATGTCTCATTTGAATGAATTTTGGCTTGACTCTTTTCACTTTAGTCTCTAGAGAATTTCTATTAGTATAACTTTTTTTTTGTTGTATTTTGTTTATATATACAAATTTTAATATAATAGATCAATTGAAGCACTTTCGTTTATATCCTAAAGGGAAAAAATACATTAGTTTTCTTAGAAATTATTGATAACAAAAACGTCAAATACTTAAATCGAATTACTTAATGTTTGATATACTGCAAAAATCTATCGAATACTAAGTTACTTTAATTAACAAAGTCAAAGTTTCTGTACATAAGAAAAAGTTCATTTCGAACTATATATCACCTTAACACAATTAATTTAATCTTGATAATTAAAAAGAAAAATCTCCAATGAAAAGTCAAAAGATTCATTCTTCTTATACAATGGAAATTGCTATATTATAGTTTGTTTGTTTTTTTTTCTTTACCAACATTTTTTTCATAATTAATAAAAAGAAGATTTAGTTAATAAAGCTTCCGCCATGGCGATTTTCTATTATAAAAACATAGATTATTTATGTTTCTTTTTTAGGTAGCTAATGATTTATCCAATTTAACTGCTATTGATAAAAAACAATGGGAAGTTAATTTAACACGAGGTATAGCTTATCGTCATGGATTAGAATGGCATGATGATAATGTAAAAAATATGAAAGGACTACTCAAAGATTTTAAAGTACAAAAAAAAACAACAACAACTTTTATTTTCGATGGATTTGTTTTTTTATAGGCGAGAGATGTTCGAATAATTATTGCAAATTTTAATCAAACAATTGCAACTCATATGTTTTGTCATGTAAGTTATTTGTTGGTGTTATTTTTTTTTTTTCGAAAAGAATTTTTTATTAATTAATTTTAAAATTAGGCTGCGAAAGAACATATTTATGGATCACGCTATCAATGGATTATACTTGGTTATCCATCATTGTTGGCATGGTGGAATGAACAAACTGATTGTTCATTGCAAGAATTGATTCGAGCAATTAATGGAACTTTACAAACACGTATACCACATTTATCTTTTTATAATATAAATGTAAGAGAAAATAATGAAAAATACTGTGAAATTAGTTGTTGTTGTTGTTTGTTCAGGAACAACCAAGTTATGTATTGGATTATTTAGAACGATTTTCTGAATTAGAAAGAAATTATTTTGATGCTTATGCATATGATACAATATGGAGTTTAGCATATCTTTATCAATCGAAATTTTTAACTAATAAAACTAATATTAGAACTATTGTAGATAATATTGATTTTAACGGTGCTACAGTAAGAAATTTAGTTTAGCTTAAGAAAAAAAAAAAAAAAAAGATGTTTTTCTTTTTTCAATTGACTTTTAAGGGAAGAGTCAGGTATTTGAATGGTCGACGAGTTGGTGAAATTCTTGTTGAACAATATGTTGGTAAGAATCGATAATTGAAAAGAAAAATGTACATCAAATTATTCAATTGAAATTTTAGCATGTCGAATGATGAATGATGGTTCATGTAAAACTCCATGTTATGAGAAAGATAAAGATTGTAATTTAACGGTTGTAAAAGTATTTCTTGCGAAAAATTCCGATTCAAAAAATGATCCACCAGTTTTATATAAATTTAATCCAATTATGTGGCATGGTTTGTATGAATTAGAATTTATTCTATAAAAAAACAAAAAAAAAGTAGAACTTGTGTTTTTTCTTTTTGTTTTGTTTAGGAAATGGTCCACCAAGAGATCGCACAAATCGAACAATTGTATTTGAACATATTTATCTTTCAGTATTTATATCAATAACAGTATGTAGTGGAATTGGATTAATTATATCAATTTCATTATTTGTTTTTAATATTCATTTTCAAAAACATCGGTAATAATAATTTGTTAAATGTTTGCTTTTTTCCAAAAAAAAATTATATTTTCTTTATTTAAAGATATATTCGAATGTCAAGTCCAGCATTAAATAATATTATTTTAGGTGGTTGTATGTTAGCTTATATTAGTATGATTTTATTAGGAATTAATTCATCATTATTTCCACAAACAAATTTTACAGAAATAATTATGAATATTATTTGTGCAGTAAGTTAAATGAATATATATGAAATGTAACAAAATGAATTATTTATATTTAGACTCGTGTATGGTTATTATCTATTAGTTTTACATTGGCATTTGGTTCCATGTTTAGTAAGACTTGGCGTGTACATGCAATTTTTACAAATATTAATCTAACAAAAAAAGTAAATTAGACTTTGTTCTTGATGAAATAAAGATAGGTCTAGTCGATTGTGATAGAAGACAATTGATTATGTTTACTAAGCATGCAATGTAGTTGAAGCTTTTGAAATATTGATGAAAATATATTAATATTTTAGCATGTCGATTTCAATTTCCATCAGAATAATAATAATTCATGTTTGTTAGCTTTTGAGAAGATAAATATCATTGTTAAACTAAATATATATATAATTTTTATAATGAAGACATGACAAATTGATGATTATTCTCTCAATAAATTATTAGATAAGACAATTTTTTGTATTCTATAGTGCTATATGAATATTTTTTTTTTAAAATATATTTCAATAAACAAAAGTTCAATTTTTCTATTAGGGTATTCATGATTCACGTTTACTTGTCGTTGTCGGTGCTCTTCTATGCATTGATTTATTCTTTTTAATTGCTTGGCAAATATTTGATCCAATTCATCGACAAATTGTTTATGATGTACCACATCGACCTAAAGTATTTTCTTAGCAATTGAACGATATTGTTTTTCTTTTAGAATAATCATTTGGGCGTGACAAACTGTCGCGATGTCCCATTTTGATGCAGTCCTATTGTAAGGACAAAACATACTATTGTCCGGGTCATATGAGAGAGGATCCCAGATAATCCTGGATTGGCCTGAACAACACCATGTTTTATCCTTACAATAGTAGACAACAGCTATCAGCGTCTCGTGTGAGCTAGTAGCTGTTTTCTACTATTGTAAGGATAAAACATGGTGTTGTTCAGGCCAATCCAGGATTATCTGGGATCCTCTCTCATATGATCCGGACGATAGTATGTTTTGTCCTTACAATAGGACTGCATCAAAATGGGACATCCCGATAGTTTGTCACGCCCATTTGTTTTTTTAAATTTTGTATTTAAGTATAATCAAGATATTGAAATACTTCCGTATCGTGAAGAATGTAAAGGTCATCATACGACATTTTGGTTTCTTGTTTTGATTTCTTACAAAGGTTTATTAATGGTATGTGTAATAAAAATTTGAACTAGTTTTTTTGTTTTTGTTTTGATTTCTCATAACAATTTAGTCTTATGGATCATTTCTTTCATGGACAACTCGTCATGTAACAATTCCAGCATTGAATGATTCACGTTATATTGGTTTAAGTGTTTATATTGTATTTATTTGTTGTACACTTGGTTCATTAGTAGTATTTATTCCATCAGAACAGATTCAATTTTCATATTGTCTAATATCATTCTTTATTGTTATATGTACAACAGTAACTGTATGTTTAGTATTTGTACCAAAAGTAAGTTCGAATATTTTAAAAACAAGATAATTGAAAGAAAAATTTAATTTAGATTGTTGAAGTATATCATGATCCATATTCGAAAAAAAAACAAATGAGAGTTACGGGTCGAATACATTCTAGTAGTTCTCGAAAAACTATATTAACAATTAAACATTTAAATGATGCAATTATTGATAATCAACAATTACGTTTAGTTTTATCTCTAGTAAGATATTTACTAAAAGAAAAATATTTTAAAAATTTATTGATTTATTTTTCTTTTTCTTTTAATTTCTAGCAAGAACAGACATTAGATCGATTGATGAAAGAAATAGATGAGCGTTCAATAGAAAAGCATTGTGTTGAAGGTAAATTGTTTGTCGTAAAGACATGGTCAAAGGAGGTTGAGTTCCACCTCTATAACTTTTTTTCTGGTTACATCATATGAGTAAAAGTATTATAATGGAATTGTTAGGAATGTTGAATAAATTTTTGACCAATAGTAAAAATGAACTAATAACTTCATTAAAATATTCATTGTACACTACCGAAAAATGATAATATCTATAACAGCTATGGTTCGGAAAAATGAAATTTTTCGTTTAATTATTGATTCAAATAGTTTTTATTTTTTGTCGGATGTCTAAAAAGTACTTGAAACTTTTCTGTATTTTATTAATATTTGTAAAAATTGTATATTTTCTTTGTATAGTAGTAGTTCACTATCTTGATGTGATAGATAGGAAGAAAAAAAACTATAATTCAAATGACAAAAATTTTGAAAACAAAAAGGAATCTGTTGTAGAATTAGAAGTAGAGTAGAAAAGTGACAAGTAAATAGCTAACAATATAACTAGAAAACAAGGATCGAATAAGAGAGATTCGAAGATTTATCAAGATGCACACTAGTACTCGATGAAATTATTATTTTACGTTTTTTGTTTTATTCAAGTCGATCGGCATACTTATCCGTATTTTCTTGTAATTTCGATCACTCTGTATTAGTAATAGATCTCAAATCAACTCCAGTTATGAAATAAATTTTTTTTTAATAAAATATGTTCTAAAACTATTTTCTTCTCAATTAATTTGAATTCTTTCTAATAAATAAATCAAATTTTGGTACACAAGATAAACAAATCTTTCACTTACGTCTCTTGACATTAAATCATTTTATTGAATTACTACGATTGATAATGAAAGTGGCTTACAAGAATTTATTGTTTTTTTTTTTAAATATAGAACCATTTGAACTCGAACGTTTAATGGTATCAGACAATGAAATCGAAGAGGAAGTAGAAGAAATTCCAACAATAAATGAAGAAGACGAAGACGAAGACGAAGAAGAAGAGGAAGACAATTATTATCGTATTACTCCAAATAATAAGTAAATCTCTTTGATACTATTAAAAAAGAAAATCATAAATTTTCAAATAATTTATTCTTTAATTTTAGTCGAGGCCTTAAAGGACGTGTTGCACGAGCAGTTAGTTTATGTCTTTATAATAAAATTCATATGACACAATTATATTGGCCAGAAAAAGTCGGTACTACTCGTTATTCACTATCACGACTAGAAGAATGTCAACATACACCATCAATTAAATTATTTCGAACAAATTCTCAAAAGTCAATTGGTTTTTCTCAAATTCAAGAATCACACGAACAAACATCAAATCTTTTGGCAACATCGTCTACAAGAGATCTTGAGTCTTTATATGATGGTTTAATTGGACTTGATGAAATTCGTCTTAATAAAATGATTGAAACTGATCTTATTTCAGCTTACTATTAGAAAATTTGATTCATTTTTCATTCTTTCTTTTTTTGTTTCTTAATTTACTCAATAAACAATTAAAAACGTAATTTATTTTATTAGAAAACAAACTAAAGAATAATCATTAACATTTTTCATGATAAAATCGTTCAATATTTTCATAGTAAGTTACATCATCTTGACGTGTTTTACTTAAACGTTCACATAACTCACACATACGAATCCGTTCTAATGCTCTACCATCAATAATAACTTCATAGTTTTTTCTCCATTGATGATATTTTGAATATAAATTATAATTCGAATGAATTTCTTGTAAATATTTAGCCAGTTTATTCATATCTTTATCAACATCAGTAATATGTATATATGAATCAGCTGGTGCTAATTGATTATAATCATTTCGATCAGGTCCATAAACAATAGGAATAAGACCATGATAAAATGCTTTAAAAAATTTTTCTGTTATATAATCTCGACATGTTGTTGATTCAAAACTTAAATAAAATTTAAATTTTGACATATAATCATGTTCACATTGACTACCAGCACCACAAAAATGCATTGGATAATAATCAACACAACGACCATAACCTTCTACTGATATAAGTTTTTGACGACTTAAATTATGATAATATTCTAAACGTTGTTTTGAATTACAATTTGATACAAACCAAAGTACACCTTTTGATCGATCATTAAATTGTTGTTCAATCCATCGATCATAATCAACATTCGACAATGGTATTTTTCGTTTACTAAATAATCCATATGATCCAAGAGATACTTCACTATTTAATTTATAACTTATTGTCCAATTAAATTTATATTGATCAAATAAAGTATAGTCAAGCATTGAAGGTGGTTCATCTGACCATAAAATCCATATAGCATTATTTTTAGTTTCAGAACGCTTTGGTACTTGAGCCTGATAATATTGTATATCATATGCATGAAAAATAATTGCATCTGCTTCAGGTAGTTTTCGATTATCACATGACCATTGACATCGAGTCTTTGATGGACAAGATTTACCAAATATACTATCGGATTTTACACCACAATATTTTTTATGAAGAAAAATACTTGTATAAAGAAGAATAAGAATCGGTGTTGATGGTTGTATTTCTTCATTACCTTTTTTTATTACTTTAACTTGTTTTGATAAAGAATCATTAAGAAGAACCTAAAATTTGTCTTCGTCGATAATCAATTATTTTACATTTTGAAAAAAAACAAAATATTTCGAAAATAAAATGAATATTTACGTTTTCTTTCATTTCCAATATTTCACTGATACTATTCCATTGCATATTTTGATTAAGTGGAATTCGTTGATATATCGAAGAAAATGGATTTGGTATTTGTGTAATCAAAAGTAGAAAACACAAAAATAGAAATATAATCTTTATACAAGGTAATCTTCGAAGATAAAATGATTTTCGACGCCACCATAGCCATATAACAGATGAATGTTTCGAAGAATGTATCATAATGTTTGATTTCTTTTTTCACATATGTCACATATGAATAACTTTGTAAATATATCTCTTCTCGCCACTGTTTTACGCTTCACTGAATATATATTTAAATGTCGTTGAATAATAACACGTTCTGTAGTTTATAGAACGCATGTATTGCACAAGAAGTATAGGTTCGTTTTTTTTTTTTTGAACATACTTAATATGGAGTAGAATATGTAACGAATCTCACGAAAAAAATTTTTTTTTTAATTTTCGTACGCATAACATATTGTTTACATTGATTTTCTTTTTTCTTCATTCTATAGAAAAAAAAAATGACATATTGACAATAATGATAGTGATAAACATACTATTCAATCAAAAATTCATCAAACTTTGTTTTTTTTTTGAGTCATAGATTAAAAATAAAATACACACGAATCTTTTTCTGCTCTAAATACTAATGAATTGTTTTTTTTTTCATTCAAACCAGGTTAGAATTGTTAATCTCAGGTATAATCAACGGAAATATTGTGTTTGTAGATAATGTGTGCAAAATTAATTAAGAAGTAAAATTTTTAAGTAGAATATGCATCAGTAGAGGCGCACAAGGTTTTATTTTTTTTCTCTTTTCGATGCATTGCACATGTGTGTCAACAAATCATTATGATTATATAGTGGTGCAGCTAACTTAAGGTTATATTAGGCTCCGTTCCAATAAGCTGACAATTTCAAAAAATAATGTTATTTCAGAAGGATGAAAATCAATGAAATGCAAACATCCTTACAGATCGTTTGTTTTTATTCTTTCTTAATTTATATTGATTTAATCAGTCGATTCAATAGTATTGTTAATTGTTGTCTATCTTACATGAAACGAAAGGGTGTTTTTAAACGAGAAATCATTGGTAGCTGTCATATTACTAATGATTTATTTTCTTAAACATGCATATTATCATTGAGATGTGCGCAAAATATTTGTCAAATTCAATATAAAACCAAAAAGGCAAAAAATTTTCATTAAAATTCAACCGAACAATAAAATGTGGAAACTAATTATATCGCTCATATGTGTTAGTGACAAAACTCCGCTAGAAATCAAGAAATAGTGGAACATTCAGCGATTATTAGAAATGAATCGGCACCAATAACAAAAATAAAAGAAAACTGTTTATTTTCGAATGAGTCAATCTCTCGAACTGCCATCATTATCAATAATAAGGTTAGTGAAATAAATGTTTCTTTCTTGGCTACAGTGATCAGACGTTGTACAAATGAATTACAAGCTCAACTAAAGCTACTGTCCTTCAAATAAAGAATAGATCATTACATTAGTACTAATATACAATGTTTCCATAGTTAAAATGTTCATTCAAACGAGATTCTGCTGTTTGTTATCATGTAATTATTTCATTGGTACGCTTAATTTTCTAAATTTAATTGAAAAAGTTTAATAATGCAGTGAGAAAATTTACTATTCGACAGCTTTCTCTTTTTGTCGAATTTTATTTGTTTTCATAATTTGAACTGATTGTATGTTGCATTCGTATTCTCTGTACTTTTAAAATTAAAGCCATACATATGCCATTGATCATAGGAACTGAAAAAAGAATGTTTTAGTAAAAATTTGAGATTTTTCTTAGCATGATCGTATTGTTTCGTATCGAGAGTCAACGTTGAACCATAAACCTTATCCTATGTTCGAATAGTCTGACAACAATTATAAAAGCACAAAATCTTACACACATTGAATCGACTCGAAAGAAGTATTTAGGTCTATTACGAAAATTCTATCAGCATTATTGTTATATTCAATTGATTTTTCAATGTAGTGATGAAGAGAATGAAGTATGTGTTAATTAAAAATACGTTTAGTTGTTGAATATCTATAATCCATGATAATTTTATTGGAAATTTTCAAATAAACTCCTACAACCGTTTCATATTAAGTTAGTTCGACTTCCGCTAATAGTACTAGAAATACAACATACTTTAACGAGTGATGCAAAATTAACAAAATTAATGCGAAAATATTTTAAAACTATTATCAAAGAAATATAAGTTATCAATACTTTCTTTAATAAAAAAATAAATAATCTTTCCTATGCCAAATACTAAGTAGTTAAAAACATGTTAGAACGGCGCTCAATTGCCCAGCTATTTTTTCTGATGACTCAGCCCACCCTTTGTCGACTAATTAACTTCAATTCAGAAAATATCCTGTTTCATCGATAAGATATTTTTCCTATATATGAACAGTACTAACAATCACTAATTGTTTATTGAAATTTATTAAGTGTGACAAATAAAACTCGACATAAAAGATTAAATATAATGACAGAAAGAGAAGCATGATGATATGAAATTCAAGGACGGGNTTGAAAGTTGAAAGTTGAAACTTGAAAGTTGAAAGTTGAAAGTTGAAACTTGAAACTTGAAAGTTGAAAGTTGAAAGTTGAAAGTTGAAAGTTGAAACTTGAAAGTTGAAAGTTGAAAGTTGAAAGTTGAAACTTGAAAGTTGAAAGTTGAAAGTTGAAACTTGAAAGTTGAAAGTTGAAATTTGAAATTTCAGTTGAAAGTTGAAACTTGAAACTTGAAATTTGAAATTTCAGTTGAAAGTTGAAATTTCAATTGAATTCAAGTTTCAAGTTTGACATATATGGGTTTCAGATGCAGCATGAAAAATTGAGTTTAGGAAACTCACTTATAAGCTATTTTTCTCGAGTCCATTTTTGACGGCGAGTCTGTGATGAAACAGTTTTGAAATTTCAAAGAGAGAAAAAACTTGGCCTATTTTTCATGAGAAGTGGATTATCGAAGAAAACTAAAATTTTATTCTCAAAAATCTCATTCCAAAAAACTGAAAACATCTATGTTCTCGATCAGCTCGGCACGCTATATCTAACCATATATCAAAAAATAGAAAAAAAATTGTTTTGATTTTGAATTTCGAGCGCCTTCCTTTCATTCAGCACTGTAAATTCAGCCATTTCAGTACTTTTCAATCACTGTCAGCAATTTATATTAACTAAGTCCAATTAATGAGAATATATAAGAAAAGGTCAATGGATTGCAGAACTAGTCAAGCATGAAAGAAGAACACAATACTGAAGTCTTGCATTTCTACGATGTCAATCAGAAATCGAATTAAGAGTCCAATTTGTAGACGCTTTTTGAAGAAAGTAGCTTCGCAATAGGTGTTTTCTACGATTCATTCCGTACAGAATTTGGATAATCTTTTCCTTCAATCAAAAAAATCACAATTATACAAAAGTAACACTGTAGCGCACTAATAATTCTACTTGAGCAGCGGAAAATCCGTTCAATACTCATGACCCCAAAAAGTCTTTTTGAAGAGACTCCACTAGGGAGTGCTAGCTTAGCATTAGCATTGCATTAATTTAGTACTTTTTAAAATGCTTTTGTGTTAGCATTGAAAGAGTTAGTTAACACTTTGGCATTAGCAATGAATTACTATTAGTATTAAAAATATCATCAGTTAGTACTAATTCCCACGAAAAATGTATTCAATACCCAGGCAGACAGATAAATGCTAAAACGCTGTTTTGATGCATTGAAGGTGAAAACAGAAGAAAACAACGCCTTTTAACTCGCGCACTCGACAAATGAAAGAAATGAACGGGTTTCAACGCGTTTAACTTTTTGTTAACGCATTTTAACGGGCTGAAGAAACATATTAAGGCAAGTGACATGTTGTAACGTATTCAATAGAAGAATTAAACAAATGAATGCATTTTAACATAGAAATACATTCGTTCTAACCAGTTAAGGCAGAGAAGTTCCATATATAAATAGTAACTCGTTATAACTTATCTATATCACATTCTTTTAAAAGAGCAATACTTTTAAAGTTAAAATTCTTTCTTCTAAACTTCAAGTAAAGCTAAGAATTACAGAAACTTTTTAACACTATGTGCTTCCACTGAGATTCGGATATTGAAAAAAAAACATGGAGTTACAAACAGAATGAAATTTAATGTCATTTCCAGGTCGAAATGCAAGTTTTTGGACAATGCACTTTAAAGTAGTAGTTTCCAATGTTGTTTCATCGCATGTTCCATAAAGTACATTAGTACATTTAAAAATTCGATTATTTAACCGCATAGAATCGGCGGATGAAATTAGAACAACCGGGCGAATAACGAAGACTGGTTCACGACAATTGTCAAAAGAAATGATTGTCTCCAAAAATCCAATTGATGGTACATCATTTCTTCTATACATTACACACCCATCATTTGTTTTTTCAGGAGTATCGATAGGATCAGATGATAATCGTTGCTGGTTAAAGAAAACTGTTTTGAATAATTTGAATGGTCGTTGCGCAACGCATTTAATGACGAAGTCAGCCACATCAGGTGCCAATGAAGATAGAAGAATTTTTTTATGAAATCGAATTGTCTTTCGATGGGAATACAACAAATTTGAAGGAACTGCTTGCCGCATACTACTATTAATTTGTTGATCAAATAATTTCAGCTCAGGTGGTACTAATACATCAGATAAAGATAACCATGTTTGTTGCAATAGATCAATATTTCGAAGTAATTCAATAGTTGGAGTATTTCCATTATGAATTAATCGAGTAAGAGTAACTATATAGAAATATAAAAAAGAAAAATATAAACGTTATTTATCACTCTGTGAAATAATTTAATTGATTCACATCTAGTTCTTTTTGTGAGAAAGTAAATCAGTTTAATAAATCTGTTTAACAATTTCGAAATATGAGTCACTCATGAGTTCTATTTATATTGTGAATGTGATATTGTTCAAATTTATATAAATTTGACAGAATATCAAATATACTCACCGATCGTTGACTCAAATTCAAAAGTGGAGTATCTGAATGCCGGTCCGTAATTTCTAATGCATTCAGCAAAATGGTTTAATTCGTGGATTACTGGCTTCGCTTGTTTTTTCTAAAATGATAATAATAATAACAATAGTAGGAATCTATTTTTAAGTGTAATTCAGTATTAGATGTATAGATATGAACTAAGAAAAAATAAGCACATATATTTACTGTATACAAAGTTTCAAACTTTGCATTAAACTCTTCAAGTAGATCATGTATATCACGATAAGTAGACAGATCAATTTGCGCTGCTTCAATTAAATGAGATGCAAATGCTAAACATCTGAAATGATCGTATTTCTCTTGGTCCAAAACTTGATCGAATGCACTACGAATAAAATAAAATATAGTAGCATAATCCATAGATCAACTGGATACCGCTCACTTATATCCAAATAGTAACACCATTTTGTACTCGTTTGCTTTATATACATTGTATTCATTTAAGTTTCTTGGAATTCTGTAGGTTGTTGACGGGTAGGACACAGACTTTAGTACAGACGCTATAGCATCTATAGCACCTTTTATATTCATTTCTCGAGTGATTCCTGATTTTTCGGAGACATTATCAAAAAAGATGCGTAGCATTCTGGCCTAAATACATTTCAATTTTACTATGAATGCAAATAAACTAAAATTCTATTTTCTACCATTGCACCTTCATAAAGTGTATGAAGTGTATCTGATAAAAACGAGTGGTACACGTCAAAATGCTTCAGTGCACGAAGTGCACATTCGCCACGGAGCCCCTCTAAACCATTACTAATTGATGCAATTGAAGTGCGCCCTCGTGTACTTGTTGATCCCTGTAAAACAATTAAAATAGCATGTAAACATTGATGGAGACGTGTCAAAAATATTTTCTCGTTACTTTTAATAATGTTATAGCTTCATCATAACTGTTGTTCGAACGTGCTTCAAAACGAACATTCCGCTCATAAACAAATGCTCGAGCGTAACCATCACCTACTTCGATATTTTCACCTACAGAAGCACAGTCATGTAGTCTATAATATTTTTGTCACTAACAAGGAAACTTCTAGATGTGATTAAAAGCTTTTGGCTTCATATTTGGTCTATCAGTAGGGGACTGATAGATTAGAGAAACTCAAAGAGGATTTTGGCCGTTGTTGAAATTTGGCTGAGATATAGAAGTTTCGTTGTAATTTCCTTAAAGGATCCTGATTTTTTAGCAAAATCATATTTTCGAATTTTGACCTGAAACTTTGCCAACATGAAGGCGTCAACTAACCTAGATTGTAAAAAGGTTTTCAGAATTTCTGAACGTGACATCGTTGAGATATTAATTTCCTAAAAGATCCATGTTTTATACAATATCTATGGAAAAGCGCCTATATTTTTGGAAATTAACATCTCGACGATGTTACGCTCAGAAATTCTGAAAACCTTATAACAATCTAGGTTAGTTGCCACCTTCACATAGACAAAGTTTCAGGTCAAAATTCGAAAATATGATTTTATTGGAAAATCACAATAATATAAGGAAATTTCAACAAAACTTCTATATCTCAGTCAAATCGCAAGAAGGATCCATATCCTCTTTGAGTTTTTCTGGTCTATCACTCCCCGACATATGAGCAAAATACGGGACTAAACGCTTTTAATCACTTCGAGAAGTTCTCTCGTAAGATCAAAAAAATCTACTTTGATGATATATATTTTAAGTTTACTTTAATAAAATAATATACCAGTTATTAATTTAAATAACATACCCTGTATCTTACAGTGTATACATCCAAAATAACCACCTGCTTCAGTATGATTGATGAGTAGTGATGCTGCTGGTTTATCACAAACGGCTGCTATGAGAAAAACATGTACGAGTTTTTCTGTTGGTGTCGATGACGAGAAAGGTGTATACTGTAGACCGTAGCGTTCAATATATAAAAGTTCTTGTACAAGTCGTTCCAAAAATATTTGCATTTCATTTTTATTGGGTTTTACAGACCCCATAGAGACCATAGCAATAATTACATTTTCACGATTGAATCTAACAGAAGATGGAAGCTCATTAATCACAAACGTTGTGATCCAAACTGATCGAGATATAGATTTAACAACAGCTCCATCTGAGTTCATTAAAAGTGTAATGAATGGCTCAGATTCTGCATGAAGAAGTTTACGATAAAAGGGTGCATCAATAATATCTCGAACTAAATTTTCATTATTATTCGGTATCATTAGATGATTTCTTTCAAGTATAGATCTGATTTGAGGCTCCACTTGAAGAATATGATTGATTGTTGGATTACTGATGAATTTATCCTTATTAACACAATTTGGAGTTGTTGAACAATGTGTAGTATCAGTTGAGATTTTATGACAAGATGGACAAGAAACCATAATTTCCCGAAAAATCATTGTATTGTACGGTTTACAAATAAGAGAACGAACATGTCTAAAATCAGACGGACAATTTGGAACACGTAACATTTTTAAAAGTCTACAAATATTTGATATAAACCCCCCCCCCTACATTAGAAGACCCTCCCATTATAGAAGACCCCCCATTATAGAAGACCCTCATTTGTGAACGAAGCGAAATTCGCAATAGAAGACCCGGATTTTGTAAAAAAAATCTTTTAAATTTTGTTAATTTAATTTTGTTAAGTGAAGATATTATTGAATTGTGTTTATTGGAGAATAGAAGTCATAACAGAATAGATGGAAAAGCAATAACTTATCTATGCACAATGGGAATGCATTTTCGTCGGAGAAAGGAAAAAAAATTCGTATAGAACGAAGTCAAGAGGAAAGAGAAAGCTTTTCATGGCGTAAGAGAGAATGAGTGGTATTAAAATTTATTTGAATCTGTAACATATTAAATTAACGAATATATAAAATATGGACGAGCAACATCTTGCACCTCTTTCTGCTGATGAAGATTCACGTTTTGATGGTTATAGTAGTTCTGATGATGCAAGTGTTGAAGTTACTTCAACCATTGACGAATGTGAAAATGAATTAGTACGTTTATCAACATGTCTTCAATTGGAATCTGAATTCGACAATGATGATGATCAAGCTTTTGAATGGCCTGAACCACCACCAACATTACTTTCTTCAAGTTCATCTGATATTGAAGAATTAGCTGATTCTCAACAGGTGGTATTGTCCACAACGTCATTTAATAATGGTGATACTCAAGAAAAATCTAACTCATGTAAACGACGTCAATGGTCAATAAAGGAAAAGCTTGATGCTATCGCACTATTTGATAAAAATCAAAGTAAACGTAAAACTGCGAATGAAAAAGGATGTACACCTGCTCAACTACGAAATTGGATTCACAATAAAGAAAATTTGTTAAAGATGTACAAGAATAAAAAAGGTTTGTTTCTATTTTCTTTTAATTGAAGATAATAGTATCTTGTCTTTCATCTTTTAGGTGGTAAACGAAAACGATTAGAAGGTGGTGGTAAAAAAGTTGTTTATGCTGATCTTGATAGTCGACTCTTTACCTGGTATCGGTCACGAAGGACCGATCCTAATGATCAATCTCGTGCTGTAGCTGATATACGAAGAGAAAGAGTAACTCTTCGTCATTTGGAAAAAGAAGGTCGTCGTATTGCTAAAGAATTAAATCATGCTTCACCAGCATCAAGTTGGTATTTACGTTTTTTGAAACGTAATGGTTTATCATTACAACGACCCAAGAGACAAGATAAAGTACCACTTGATGAAGTTCATCGTTTAGCTAATTCTTTTTATATGTTCAATCGTCGTGCAAGTTTATGGTCAATTCGACGTGGTCCGATGGGTGCATTTATTTCTGAAGACATTTGCAATATGGATGAATCTCCATTAGCACTTTTTGGTGATCAAGCTAAAAGGTCTGTTAATGATATCGGTACAAGTAATGAAATCAATGGGTGCATTAGCAACAAGGTAATATATCATGGAGCTGATTTATGTTAATTTTTTTTAATCGAATGCTTGTTATTCGAAGAATTTTTTACCATTTTCCTTAATAAACAGAAGATATATGAATCAATACTCAACTTAAACACATAATAATCTGTGAATCCTAAATATAATATTGACTTTTGCTCTATCTGACTACAAAATACATAAAAGACTATGTTCTGTTCCACTATTGCTTTGTAAAAAAAATGATTGATACGACTCATACCATTTACCACTTACAAAAATATCTCAATGAGGAATTTCAAAATCTGATGAAGTTGACTGTCCTATATGCTGCAAACACTATCAGATCTTAAAAGCTTGACCATTTTTTTTAAATCATTTTAGAGATTTTGCACCGTTTTACTTACTGTTTTTGGTAAAAATCAACGAATGAAACCAGTGGTACTTTTTAAAGGTAAAGGTAATATTGGTGTTAATGAACGTGAACAGTATTCAAAAGGTGTAGATGTTATTTTTACACCAAAAGCTGTAATTAATGGACAATCAATGGATATATATATTAATAAATGGTTACAAAAGGTATGAGAACATTGTTTGAGCACAGAAAGAGAATATCTGTCAATATAATGTGATGATAGGGTAATTTTGATTAGTAATCATCTTTACAATTGATTAAAGAATATCGTCATCACTTTAAGAATTTCAGAAACACTAATCTATTATGCGAATAAAGTTTATCATTTATCTTATAGGTGTATGATGGTCATCCTAAACTATTTATTGTCGATTCAGCGAATTCTCATTTAAAACCCGAAATAATTCAAAAGTTACGAAAGAAGAATGTTGTGGTATCTATTATTCCAAAAGGGTGCACACAATATCTACAACTTCTTGATACAGCAGTTTTTTCGGTATTCAAGAATCACTATCAAGCTGCTGCTGATGAATACATTGATTGTTATAGTTCACGTAGCAAAATTAAATTAACAGCTAAACAACAAAGAATTCTATGTACTCGTTTAATTTCAACAGCATGGATTCGTACTCAGAAAAGTATAGATTTTGAACGTGCATTTCTTGATATTGGTTATACATGGATGGATGAATCTCCTCTTTCTATTCGAACTTTACAAGGATTTATTTTTGATCCATCAACAGTAACTTCTTCGGCATTCAATGATGATGACAATGAAGAAAAAGAAGAATATAATGCAAAGAAAACAACGGTCAAAGAAAAAAATAAGAACTCACATTTGTTAGCCATCAACAACAACAACAAATTGAAACAGCTCAGTTTAGATCAGTATATCAAAAAGTAAAATTTAATTGTACTTCATTTTTGTTTTTCATTTTCTTGTATTTTTACTTTGTATTTTTACTTTGTATTGAAAATATAATCATGGTGAACTAATTCAATTATCTCTTAATGAAATATAATAACGATATCTGAACCTCTGTGAACATATATTCATATTAGAAGACCACTCATAATAGAAGACCCCTCTAAAGAATTTTTACACTTCAACATAATAGAAGACCCAGAGTCTTTTATTGTAGGGGGGGGTTTACATTGATTATCTTTTTTTTGCTTTGAGTACGAGTTATAGCAGCTTTATTGCGAAATTTAGGATTTAACGTATCAATATGTTTTTTAGCAAGTTCATAAAATTTTTGACGTGCAAAATCATTGATAATAGGACGAGAATAAGTTGATTGCTGTAATGTCATTCTTGATATTGCAAAAGAAAATATCGAAAGCTATTTAACACTCAATGAGCTTTGTTCATGAAAATGAAAGAAATTGGTAGTTAGATATAAAATAATCACGAACAGAACGATTTCTGCCTAGTCAAAATCGAATTTGATAGAAGCGCCAAAAGAAAACCAATTTTGCCTGAAATTTAAATTTGCCTGTGACATCCCATGTCGCCACTTTTTTAACAACTGAGTCGCAGTTGCGTGCAACTGCGAAATTTTGATCGTAACTGCGCGTAACTGCGCGTAACTGCGGCGCATTGATCGCAGTAAAAAATCCATGTGTTCGACTGCGACGCAGTTACGCGTAGATGCGAAAAAAATATCACAGTTGCGCGCAGTTACGGTAAAAAATTCGCAGTTACGCGTAACTGCGTCGCAGTTTGATCACAGTCGAGCATGTGGGATATATCTATTTTGAGAGTGAACCCAGCGAACCAATTAGACCATGGCGTCATCTACAGTCAACGTTGTCTTAATTAATCAAACTGCTAATGATTAGAAATATATAAGTTTTTATTTTAACAGATGATTTGGTAAACTTTAAAAAGTTAGGTTTAAACAATCAAAATGTGATTGGATATTTCAAGTTCTTTATGTGGGAATATATGGGTAATTCATACACTGCTGCCGGCATATTAGAATATAATATCTTAAACAAAAGTAGATATAAAAATTACTTTCAGTTTGAAAAATGATATTTCATGCTTAATCATAAAATACTGTTCTTGCTTAAGTTCTGTCTCTTCGAACGAACTTTTCATAATCTTTATATCATTCATATTCTAAATCAAAGTACTAGTAATGTATTTACTATTTTAAAACTCTAGTGAAAGTGATTATTCATCCTATTTGTTACAAATTTCATCATGATTGTTGTTGAAACAAGTCTAATTGTATTTGCTGTAAGTAAAGCTTGCTTTACTATTTTCGATATTTCTGCCCAGGTCAAACAAGCACGGTCGTAAACGACCGTATACGGAGAAATACGACGATTTACATGGTCACGTATTACGATCGTATATCTCCGTGTCGTATACGAAGAAATACGGTGATATACGGAGAAAAATACGATCGTAAACTGAGATCGTATACGGGGTTCGTATACAATCTCCGTTTTGCTCCGTATACGGTGACGGTGATATACGATCGTAATACGCGACCATGTAATACGGCAAAATACGGTCGTATACGGAGAAAAACGGACCGTACACGACCGTTTATGACCGTTTATAGACTCCGTAAACCTCGACCTGGGTGTCCTTTTTTCAGGTAAACTCAATTATTGATGGTGGATATACAGCAACATGTATCGATGAACTTGCTGATGGTAATTGTTTATTGAAACTTATGAATGAATTGTAAGTTTAATATGCAAAATAAATAGACAATTAAATTTTTTCTTTAATTATCAAGAGAAAATAAAAAAGATCCATCATCACGATTTTATATTCCTTATGAACTTGATACAAAAGGAATTTTCGACTTAATCTTGAAATATATTTCAAGTATGTACTGCTCATACTCATTGATCTGTTTTCTTTTTTCCTCCTGTTATTTCTAGGCAATACATTCCTACCAATACAATTAAAAAATGATGATTTATTGTCAAATGACAAAAAGTTTTTACACAAAGTGAGTTTAATATTGTTTCATTCAATTAGAACTTATCAATATTTTTTTTCCAGACTGCACTTCTGTTGGTCTTAATTGCATTAACAGATAAAGATTTATACTGGAAAATATTTAAAAAAGATAATAAGATTCATAAACAACTACATGATTTAAGAGCATCATATGTTAAGGATAATTTTTCTATAAATATAAGTGAGTGCACTCATTTTCGGCTTCTTCTTATTCATAATGAGTGTTTTTAAAAGAAATAGTTATCGCATTTATACATTCACTTTTTTATTATTTTAGAAAATACAGTATTTATTGATCAAATCTATTCATCATCAACAATTCCAAAAGAAACAAAACAAATTCCTGAAGTTTATGGAGCTGTTGATACCAATGAACGTGTAGATGCTTTTTCTGATATTGATGTTCATCGCGCTAGCTTCCTTATCAAGCTACTCGTACGAATGAAGGTATAAGTGATTTCATCAATGTCAATCGTAATAATAATGGTTTACATCTTCAACAGTTTCGAAATAAAGGTATTGATCACCTCGATTTTGTTAATACACGTGAACTTGACTTAATTGATAATATTTATGATAATGATTTGGGTCACAAAGATTCTACAAGTACAGAAGTTCTTGAATCAAATGTCATGAGTTTACATGGATATGATTTGATTGATGGTGCTAATGGTGCTTATTCAGGTGTTAATAAATTAAAAAATGCACAAAATTCTCAAGCAAGTATTATGAGTTCATGTGCACTTCATTCAACTGATGATGCTAGCGGTGCTTGTTCAGATGTTAATAATTTAAAAAATGCACAAAATCTTCAATCATATACTTTTGATAGATTTGAAGATCTTGTCAATACTAAAGGAAAAGAAAGAGGTAATCAATAATGTAGTTTATCAATATACTGATTGTTAAAAATTTATTATAGGAAGCATAGCAGTATATAATAAAAAAGAAAAATGTGAACATTGTCGTGAAAAAAACCCTGGTCAAATAATAATTTTTGCACAAACACCATGTGTTTTCAGTTGGAGCAGTCTTATAGTAAGTTCCATTAATTTCTTTGAATGGTGATTTGAATACTGTTGATAAATTTCTTTTTCTATTGTAGCTTTACCATTTAGATTGTGCTCTTGAACAGGAACTATTTTCACACATCGATTGCTCGACTTTAACAGCAATACAAAGAAAAAATTTAGAAAAAAAATTGTCTAAATAAAAGTTATTTAATTAAAAGATTTTTTTAAACTTAAGTGGCGGAAAAAAAGACTTATATTACTTATCTGATATTTTCACATATTACAATAGAAATAGAAGATATGCAATTTGGAAACAATTAACATATATAAATCGGATGACTTTCCAATGACTTCGCAAGGGTTCTATTATATCAGATTTTCATCCGTACTGCACTACATTTTTGAAAATATTAATCATATATCAAAACAGATTTAATAAATTTCGTTATTTCAGTATATTATTATTGGAAAGAAATACTCATTCTAAAGTTAATTGACACGAAGGTCTAAGATGTATTCGAGAATCTTTCATCAAAATTCAGTGTTAAAACTTCTCCAGACAATATTGTAAAAGTTCTATTGATAATTCAAAAGCGTATCCAAATAATAATTTTTCCTGAATTACAAACAACGGATCTGAGTTCAAGTAGATCTTTCTCAATCATGTAGAGAGCTATATTTTGTCATGACAATAAATCAAACGGGCATTATCATTTTAAGATGCCATCATAGTTTTAAAGAAATTCGAACAATGAAAATAGACGGCTTTTGCAAGAGACATGAGATAAAGGTATCAACGTATTAGAGTAAAAATTTTCGGTAAAACATTTTTAATATCATTTTTTTCATTAGATAATGTTACGATAGTTTTTAAACATTTATTACAGCTAATTGACCTTATTGAAGAAATTAATTTTTTTGGTACTTAAGTATAAGTAAAAAAGAGCATTTGCTTAAGGTATAGGTAAAGTATCAAGTACATTTTTTAAAGTGCAAGTATAATACTCTAATTTGTGGTACCTGTACTTTTTCTACTTCTGTAATGTTTATTAAAAAAAAAACTCTTCAGTTACATTCATTAGAATAGAAAATGTTTTTTATCAGTTTTATTTATTAATCAAAACCACGTCGTGAGTCCATAACCCTCCTTCTCAATTGAATAATAAGGTTGTTTGTCAACGGACAACAAAAGAATACAATGACATAATTGTTTAATAAATTTTCTATGGTCATCAAACACAGAAAGGAAATCATCACCATTTGATAAGTTGAATCTCCGTCGAAAATAAAAACCAAAATCTCTGAACAATGATGTTGTCTTTGCGATTATTTCACAATTTTTATCATCGACAGTTTTTGGTAAGTCATACAAAGATATTCGTAACGAACTCAATTGTGGCAATGCTGAACGTAAATATGAAACCACCGACCAATTTGGTAGCGTATACATAGGAAAAGTATAAGAAAGCAGAATATGAATAGAACGAATGGTTTTCGGAAATGAAGAATAACAGTTCAAACAATTAATACTATTTACCAAAGTCATATGCCGAAGTGCAGGTAAATCTATACGAATAGGTGTATTATAAAATGACAAGTGCAACGTTTCAATACAATTAGATAATGCCACATGAGGTAAATAGAATATAGATGATGGTAAAGTTGGTCCCGATGTATTGAGTGCCCGAAGAAATGATTGACCGATTGTTATAATTTTTCGAGAAGGTATTTCAAATACTTGTATTTTAGTAATCCTTGTGTGTGGAATATATTCTTCGTGAAAGAATTCATCAAATGTCCACGGAAGAGTATACCACATATGATGATAATATTGATCACCACGAGCCTATAAATTTAAATAACATATAAATGTATTAGTAGATGATACTTAAATTATCGAGTAAAAAATAAAGATTTTCTTTTTTTTCATATTTTATGTTAAAATTAAATGTGAACAGATATATAATTGAACAATAACTTACAAAAGGATCACCATCAGTGAGCCATTCTGATTTTTCAGACCAGTGATTAACAACAAATGTTGCACCGACTATTTCTCGTGGTTGAAAACGATTACCACGTGGTATATATTGTGTTACTTCGAGATGTTGAGGATAATTAATGAGACTGAAAGCAAAATGAACATCAACATGACGATGATCAGTGAATAGTGGTGACGACCTAATATGGTTTAAATCATTAATATTAATGAAAATCGATATATTAGCACGTTGAAGAACAGGCATGGCATTGGACGATGTCAGAATGTCGATCAATGTCCATCTCATTATTATAGTCGAGAAAAAGTTTAAAAAAAGTAAATGTATGCAAATTAACCATTCGAATCAGTTGATTAGATGTTGTTGCAGTACAATAGTCGTTGTAGTTACCATTATCAATCGTGACATGTAATTGACGTAATGCACAGGCGAGTTGTGATGTCGACATAATACGAACTAAATCACCCATGGACGTTAATGCTACACGTAGATAGGTAAGAGGAACACATACAGTAATGGGCCATGTTATCCAGTAATAAGTGAAACCAAAGTCGAGAGTTCGAAGTGCAGGTAAATGAATAAGAATGATATTATGCGCTAACATCATAATGTCACTTACTGGATATTTATACTCCATCCAGAGACCATCCTAAAAATAGAAACCATATTTAAATATCATAAAATAAAAAATCAAAGCTAACGCCAACTGAATTAAGCATGCAATTCAAAACAGCAGTATTAACTCTCAAAATAAAATTTCTTGACACATAATCTCTGCAACAATAATTAATACATCTTGAAAAACATACAGATTCAAATAAAATGATTTTCAACCAATCTGTCGTGACCGATAGAAACTGTGAAACTCATAAAATATTCGTGCAATGTTGTACATTACTATTGGGCGGTAATTGTCTTACTCAATGTTTCATTTCACAAAAATTTCAATACGACTCGGTTCAAAATCATAAATACGTACAACAGTTATTCAAGTAAAATATATTTAGAACTGTGAGAACTAAGTTCAGGCTTTTGAAGAAGTTTGTTGAGAACTTCAAATGAATGGTGACAAGTCTTACACAATAATTATAGATGAGTTAAACTCATTATATAATCATATGTTCTTTTATTATCATAAACTTTGTATTGATTATTATTGGAAATTATCATCGAATGTGATATAATCTTTGATGAACAGATCAGTTCTATTTTCTTTTTCTCAAGGAAAAGTCCAAATAATTCCATATGATTATTTCAAAAAGATCTCTCATACTGAATAAGAAAAATCTATTTTGTATTTCAAAATATAAACAGAAGGATAAGCTTTAGTATTTTAGTTACATGAATCATAGTTCTATATTTATTTTTAGACAAATACTTTATTGAATTACATGTGGATTTGTATATTGCATAGCTCTTGAAAGTATTGAATTTAATATTTTTTTATTCTTCATTTTATGGAATTTGACAATCTCTATCGAACGAAACTGGACTGTATTTTTATAAAAATTTCTTTTGTAAAAGTTATTTCATTTTGAATTATATCAAAAAGAAGAATGAATCCATCGTTTCTTGCTACTTCTAATATAACTTTATTCGGTTAGAGTTCTGATTGGTTTGAAATTTTCAAATAATGACAATACTTTCATCTTTTACACTCTATTCATACTAACAATTTCTATTTTTTAGCAAAACTGTAGATAAATTTGAAGATAAAACTGTATTACATTTTCAATTGTAACATAATTGCTTTCGCTTCTTCCTATAGTTCTAGATGTATTAAAAACAAATCGTTGATACTTACCGGAATTATTCTTTCATTTGATTTGATGATAATATTAGTGAGAGTCGCTGCATGAAGTAAAACAAAGAGCAAAAGATAATCATGATTGTGTACACCAATGATACGCAAAGTTCTCAAACGAGGCAAATAAGGCCAACGAGTTAGTTGGAGCGGAGATGCATCACTATCAATTGCAAGTGATTGAATAGGTAATTATATCATTGGTCGACAAACTTTTGTCGACAGTCATTTTCGTCGACAATTTTTTGTCGACAGCAGTTTGTCGACAAAATTTTGTCGACAATATTTTGTCGAAAGGAAATTTTGTCGACATGATAATTTGTCGACAAAATTTCGTCGAAACTATTTCGTCGACAGATATTTCGTCGAAAAATATTTCTGAATAAGCCATGATGTTCAAAAGTTTATCACTATTTTTTTATTTAGTCAAGCACATACAAGAGTAAAACAAAATACTATATATAATTATGTAGAGCATATTTAATAAATAAACTAACAGATATGAGGAACAATGAAACAAACAAAGAGCAATTATTAAGAAAACCTGTTATTTCCTTTCTTTAATCATTTTTTCTTCGCGACCAAAAGTGACAAGCCTTGGACATATTCGATAAGATCGATCTCCTGCTTCGTGAATCTCTCTGCGAGGGTTTCAAGACACTGCTGAATACGACATGTTCGTTTTCCATAGACTTTTTTCTTGCCCATTTTAACATGCTGCATATATTGATTGAAACGAACTTCTTCTTCCTGTAGAACACGTATGAAATGCCATATATTTGGATGTTTCTTGTCTATCCGATGGGAAAACCTGTTATGCCAACCTGAGCAAACTATATTAGATTAGCAAAAGATGCTCAGAAGAAACCTTACCCTCCGCATTATTATTAGTTCGTATTTTGAGATTGAAAACATTCCACGAATCTATAGATACTTCGTCCATCCAAAAATCTTCAAAATAATCGAACAACTCATTGATCGATTGCGGATGGTTATCAGCCAAATGTTTGAAAGCTGTCTCTACTTTGTCGCGAGGCAAAAGAGCGAGTGCCATTAATTGATGACATATTGAGCGAATTTCTTCCTCATTCTTATAGATTGTCGACAGACCGATATTCTGAATCTTTCGATGAATACTTTGAGTAAAATGAAAGAAACATCCAATATGTCGAGACATAGGAAACTAAAAGAACTTCAAGAACTTGCTACCACATTTTGAGATAGGCAAGAACTTACATGATGTTTAACAGACTTAATTAATCCACTTTCAAAGTCAGTCGTTATCTTCTCTGGTTCGAATGTCATTCGGCGATCTGTTGCTTCCTGCTCTAAGAGTTGAAAAATATGGTTTTAAATGGCTGCCGATCGTCCAGGAAGAAGAGAAAGTACGCAGGGTACAACTTCAAAGACATAAAAAGTTAGATTCGCAATCTACCCTTAAAAGAGGAAACTCACTGTGTTCATGATGCACTCCATGAATAGTTAAAACTTGATCAAAGAAAGGAGGACAGACTGAGAATGTGCCATCGATGAAGATGTGTTTCGACTCAAAAAGCATGGCTAATTGTCGTTCATTAGCAAAAATCAAGGCTCTCTTGCCACGTATGAGAGTATCCTTAAAAAGAAAATCTTTGCCATCTAAAGTCTGCCTGTAATTCATCGGAATGTCGAAATCTGATGATGTAGGAAGAGTTGGAGTTGTTTTTCGACGAAGACGTGAAAGCGATGGTTCTAAAGATTTGACAAAATAGAACGTTATTAAAGAGTTCTTGAGCATAGGTACTCACGAGCATCTTTAGCATCTGCTACAAGGGCTAAACTAGTCTGACTAAGCTTTGATACTGCCAATTCCTGTTCATATATACGAGCTATTGGTGTTGTTTCTTTGACAACTCGCTCTTTGACCTTTTGTTGGAATTTAAGAAGCTCAATGCGTTCAGGTGAAGGTAAATGTCCATCGTGGGTGCCGGAATGTACTTTGTAGTTATCCTTTCCATCGGTGTGAACAAAGGCCGAACAGAAACGATCCTGACAACGCCAATATTTCACTTTTCCTCGATCTTTATTTAATGTGTATATATGTCCATCAAAGATAAGCAATCGTTTTCCTTTTGTGGTAACGCCGAATTCGAGAAGAACTTGAGTAGCTGCCATGATGAAGTAGACACAAACGAAGAAATTGAGAAAATGTATACATCCGATTCTTTTTGTTATATATATATATATAGGTATTTATCTGATTTGAAGTGAAATTGATCAAATTAATAAATACATCAATTTCAGAATGCAAAATGCATTACTGATTGATGTGATTCTTATTGAGTTAGTGACGAAAACAACTTTGATTGATTTATCCATATAGAATGAAATCATAACTTATATTTTATTGTTAAATTATACAGGCTCATAATTTTAAGATCAATATGCGTTGTCGACGAAAATATGTCGACGAAAAAGCTTTCGACAAAAACACGTCGACAAAATAAATTCGACAATGACTCTGTCGACAAATTATCTTTCGACAATGTATCTATCGACAAAATATATGTCGACAAAGTTTTGTCGACAAAATGTTTGTCGACAAAATATACTGTCGACGAATGATATGCAATTCATTGAATATCATTCAATGGAAGAAAACGAAGAATTGTATTAAATTGATGATAATGTGCAAGTGATAAGTTAATGTGATAAAAGAAACCTCGTTCAGTTATTAACCTTGTTAGACGATGATTAAGATGAGTAAATCCCCATAGTATATCGGTAGATGAGAAATATGAGAAGAGCTCGATTAATACTAGATCCGGCAGATCGTTGAAACATGTAAGCAACGCCATATGTTCATATAATTGACTATATCTGTATTTTTATATTTATACTGCCTTTTTTTATATTCAGTGATGGACGAATCTTTTTTTTTCATTTCTTCAAATTATTAACCGTCCATATAAGAAATGACAACATGTTAAACATGATCGTTACCATGGAAACGAAACAGAGATGAATGAACAAATTTGTCTTTTTTTGCATTCTATTTCACTGAACACATTTATTTTGAAATAGTTATTCAATAGTTGAATGAAAAATTCATAAAATTGAGATAAAAACATCAAATGTTAAGCTACGGTCCAATTATATTTGTAGTTTAATGTGAATTAGATTTGATTGAAGAAAAAAGGAAATCTTTTGAAATAGTTTCAAGCACATCTAAACTTATTTTAGTTGAACCATTTTTGTTTTCAAAATTGTAGGTCGAAATAAAAAAAAAAACCTAAATTATTTGTCTATTCAATTTGATGTTCATTCGCTAATTCTTTTCATCTTACGAGGCAAGGTCTCCTAGGGTGTGGGGTAGGTGTGGGTCTGAATGACTATCACAGGACGACACCGACACTCCCACCCTGCTTTATCGCTGTAGAAAATTAAGTTGGAATTGACCGATATTTCTTCAGAAACTGAGTATATATAATATAATTTTGAAAAAGTTTCAGCATATCAGTATGTTTCTTTCTTAAAGTAAGTCTAATTCATGTCAGTAACGAAGCATTTAGATGAAAGGAAAAATTTTCTCATTTTGAAACCTAAACGACGAACAAGAGTTTGAACGATAAGGAATAACAGTTTTCAAAGACGTAAAATGATGAATCATGTCCCATTTCATTTGAAAATGGCAAGCAACAGATTCACTTTTGATTTTTATCAGATGTAGAAAGATGTAAATTGAATAAACTAGTTCAAGTCTGTTTTCTCATTAAAAAAACAAAGATGAAATAGAGCGGTAGAAAAAACGTTTTCGAAACGGTTCTTAGCTATTTTCATAAAAACTGAACGACAAAGGAAGAATTACATTAATTCTGGTATCGTCTCGTTGACTTTTTCTATCATCCTTTATAGTTGACTTGTCGCTTGAAAATTCGTCTTTTTCAAAGGGTTTCTGAGGAACTGTGGATGTGTGTTGGTGTGAATGTAGGTATCTGAATGCGCGTGTATGGTTGGATATTGATGTGAACGTGAGTCATATGCACACACGTGTGACGCATTGTTCTAGCACCAATACCACAAACGCTGTCAGTTTATTACATCAATACGTGATCTATGAAGATGTTAAGTCTTCATAGGAATAACGAGTGAGATTGAACATGTAAATACATTCCTCACTTCAACATCGATCCTCACGTTCTGCTCCAAAATAGTTAAACTTATTGAAAAATAGAAAAGACTTTATGATCCATTGAATAATGCAATCAATTTTCATTCTACAGATATCGACTACTATTCTGATTAATCAGTTCAATCATACTATGACCACTCGATAATAAATGGTGTCCCAAAAGTTTCGACCGCTCTCAGTAAATTGATGATATCTACAACAAACTTATATGAAATTATTGATCAAATTATGTCATTTTGTGGAGGAAGATTAGGGCTATCATCTGAAAAAAAATAGTTCGAAATACATAAATTTGTTACAATTTTATGGTCATTTTACCGATCTTGAGTGAAAATTCTTACGATACATTTTTGCAAAAACAGAATATGTTTGTAACATCTTAAGCGACATATAGTTGTCTAGATATTTTTACATGATTCAAGAGAATTTGACAAGTTCTACAAGAATATAAATTTTTAAAAACCCTCTAATCTTAATTTCAAAATAAAACTTGGAGGAAACAAGAAAGACTAACAAAAACTCTCATGTATCAAACATTGGAGAGAATAGGCTGAGCTTTCAATAGTGTTAGCTGAGTGACTGATCCATCTATTCAGACAGCTTAGAAGAGCTATTTTTTCAGCCTCAGTATGTAACACTGTATCTCGAGCCCTCAATTAATAGTCGATCAACTAAAGTTTTTGGAATTTTAGCACACTATCTAATGAAAGATATGTCTGATTTTTAATAGTCTGCTTGATTTAATTGAAGTTTTATACTGGAAACAGGATTCCAATTTTTCAGGATATTCAAAGTTTTTCAGAGCTTCTTAAACTCTATCGAAACATATAAAAATATCTTTTCAAAAAAACATGTAGGTCATAATATTTGGTTCGAGTTTAATAACTTAAATATTAAAGATGTTTTTGTTATTTTCAAAAAATGTAACACAAGAATTTTCACACGAGATCGGTAAAATGACCATAAAATTGTAACAAATTTATTTATTTCGAACTATTTTTTTCAGATGATAGCCCTAATCTTCCTCCACAAAATGACATCATTTGATCAATAACTTCATATAAGTTTGCTGTAGATAACATCAATTTACTGAGAGGAGTCGAAACTTTTGGGACACCCTTTAGTTTAGTTCAGCACATAAAAAGCACGAGCGATTACTCATGATACATTCGGCTTCATGTTACCTAGACAGGTGATTTCAAGCTAAGTTTGTATTATTCGATGTTAATGAATGAAAGTGACATACATGAAAAAAAGGCTTCAAGCTATTAGTAATTTTAGTGTCACACTCATAGAATGATGTTACAGAAATAAAAGGTTTCATATACTATCGTTGTAATAAAAATATCACGAAAAATCAATTAGCATTATTTGTTTTTTTTTATTCTAACAAGTTGAATGTAAGCGAAAATAAGCAATAACATAGCCATCACTGTCAATGCAAAAAAGTTCTTCCATAAATCCCATGCATTATCATGAGCAAGTCCTCGCTTATCAAGTATCTCATCACCTGTTACTGGACAAAAATCAGTTTGATTTGGTAAACAGAAAGTTAAACCTTGAAATTCATTAATAGTAAGGACATTTGAAGCATATCGAAATGCACTAATCCATTGGATCCATGACAGCCAACTAAAANGAAAAGTATTAAAAAAAAGCAGAATATGAATAGAGCGAATAGTTTTTGGAAATGAAGAATAACAGTTTAAACAATTAATACTATTTACCAAAGTCATATGCTGAAGTGCTGGTAAATCTATACGAATAGATGTATTATAAAAGGACAAGTGTAACATTTCAATACAATTAGATAATGCCACATGAGGTAAATAGAATATAGATAATGGTAGAGTTGGTCCCGACATATTGAATGAACGAAGAAATGATTGACCGATTGTTATAATTTTTCGAGATATTTCAAATACTTGCATTTTAATAATCCTTCTGTGTGGAATATATGCTTCGTGAAAGAATTCATCAAATGTCCACGGAAGAGTATACCACATATGATAATAATATTGATCATCACGAGCCTATAAATTTAAATAATATATAAATATATTAGTAGATGAAACTTAAATTATCGAGTGAAAAATAAAGATCTTTTTTTTTACATTTTGTATTAAAATTAAATATGGACAGATATATTATTGAACAATAACTTACAAAAGCATCACCGACAGTGAGTCATTCTGATTTTTCAGACCAGTGATTAACAACAAATGTTGCACCGACTACTTCTCGTGGATGAAAACGATTACCACGTGGTATATATTGTGGTACTTCGAGATGTGGAAGACAATTAATGAGACTGAAGGCAAAACGAACATCAACATGACGATGATCAGTGAATAGTAGTGACAACCTAATATGGTTTAAATCATTAATATTAATGAAAATCGATATATTAGCACGTTGAAGAACATGCATGACATTGGACAATGTCAAAATTTCGATCAATATCCATCTCATTATTAAAGTCGAGAAAAATGGTTTACAAAAAGTAAATGTATGTAAATTAACCATTCGAATCAGTTGATTAGATGTTGTTGCAGCACAATAGTCGTTGTAGTCACCATTATCAATCGTGACATGTAATTGACGTAATGCACAGGCGAGTTGTGATGTTCACATAATACGAACTAAATTACCAATGGACGTTAAAGCTAAACGTCGATAGGTAAGAGGAACATATATAGTAATAGGCCATCTCATCCAGTAATAATCGAAACCAAAGTTGAGAAATCAAGGTGCAGGCAAATGAATACGAACAATATTATGCGCTAGCATCATTATGTCACTTACTGGATATTTATACTCCATCCAGAGATCATCTTAAAAAAAGAAACCGTATTTAAATATCATAAAATAAAAAATCAAAGCTGACGCCAACTGAACTAAGCATGCTATTCAAAATAGCAGTGTTTCCATTAATGAATTAACTCTCAGAATAAAATTTCTTGACACATAATCTCTGCAACAATAATTAATATATCTTTAGAAATGTACAGATTCAAATAAAATGATTTTCAACTAATCTGTCGTGACCGATAGAAACTATGAAACACATAAAATATTCGTGTAATGTTGTACATTACTATTGGGAGGTAATTGTCTTACTCAATGTTTCATTTCACAAAAATTTCAATACGACTCGATTCAAAAGCATAAATATGTACAACAGTTATTCAAGTAAAATATATTTAGAATAGGTTTAGAACTGTGAGAACTAAATTCAGACTTTTGAAGAAGTTTGTTGAGAACTTCAAATGAATGGTGACAAACCTTACACAACAATTATAGATGAGTTAAACTCATTATGTAATCATATGTTCTTTTATTATCATAAACTTTGTATTGATGATTATTGGAATGTATCATCGAATGTGATATAATCTTTGATGAACAAATCAGTTCTATTTTTTTTCCTCAATGAAAAGTCAAATAATTCCATATGGTTATTTCAAAAAGATCTTTCATACTGAATGAAGAAATCTATTTTATATGTCAAAATATAAACAGAAGGATAAGTTTTAGTAGTTTAGTTACATGAATCATAGTTCTCCATTTATTTTTAGTCAAATACTTGATTGAATTACATGTGGATTTGTATATGGCATAGCTCTTGAAAGTATTGAACTCAATATTTTTTTTTATTCTTAATTTTATTGAATTCGACAATCTCTGTCGAACGAAATTTGACTGTATTTTGGTAGAAATTTCTTTTGCAAAAAAGTTATCTCATTTTGAGTTATATCTAAAAGAAGAATGAATCCATCGTTTCTTGTTACTTCTAGTATAACTTTAGTCGGTTCAAGTTTTGATTGGTTTGAAATTTTCAAATAATGACAATACTTCATCTTTTACACTCTATTCATACAAACAATTTCTATTTTTTAGCAAAAACTGGAAACAAATTTGAAGACAGAACTGTATTACATTTTCAATCGTAACTTAAATGCTTTCGCTTCTTCCTATGGTTCTACATGTATTAAAAACAAATCGTTGATACTTATCGGGACTATTCTTTCATTTGATTTGATGATAAGATGAGTGAATGTCGCTGCATGAAGTAAAACAAAGAGCAAAATGTGATCATGATTGTGTGCACCAATAATACGCAAAGTTCTCAAACAAGGCAAATAAAGCCAACGAGTTAGTTGGAGTGGAGATGCATCACTATCAATTGCAAGTGATTGGATATAATTCAATGGAAGAAAACGTAGAAATGTATGAAATTGATGATAATGTGCAAGTGATAAGTTAATGTGATAAAAGAAACCTTGTTCAGTTATTAACATTGTTAGACGATGATTAAGATGAGTAAATCCCCATAGTATATTGGTAGATGAGAGATATGAGAAGAGCTCGATTAATGCTAGATCCGGCAGATCGTCGAAACATGTAAGCAGCGCCATATGTTCATATAACTGACTATTTCTGCAGATTAATCGTCCATATAAGAAATGACAACATATGTTAAACATGATCATTACCATGAAAACGAAACAGTGATGAATGAACGAATTTTCCTTTTTTTGCGTTCTATTTCATTAGATATATCGTATTGAAGTTACTTCAATTGAACTCAACACCAAATAAATATAATTTTATTGATGATATTAAAAACAACATCTAAAATTATTGTACATTTTTCATTTTAAAAGCATTTTTATCGTTTTTTTTACAATGAAACTCAGACGAAGTTATTCAAAAAAATCAAACATTTTTTTTTTATGTGATTAAAGATTTAGTCTGCTGTCCTTTAAGTCTGTAACTAAAAAAAGAGATCTGTCTAATAATATACTCTGATTAAAACAGGGCACAATCATGGAATTGAAAAAGCTCTAACAATATACTGTAATCCTAGATGTTTTTCAGTTTTTGCTGTGAGTCTCCATGATCTTCCTTTTCACAATAAGTGCATGACTTGAAATAAAGATGGATAAAGCGCCTGGCTGCTAGTAAAAATGAGAGTAATATCGTGGCCGAAACAATAGCTAAGGAGGCAAAATGCGTACTTCAGACTTTGGTTTTCTTGAAGTGAATCCAAAATATTTTAATATCCTGCAAAAATATATCCGACTGTTTCAAAATAAACAAAAAATTCCGAAAGTAATTACTGATAACATCTCACCGGTAGTGCCCATCAGGCCCAACAATTTTTGCACCCAAATCCGGTCAAAACAAAATTTTCAGATCCGGACTCGCCCGATAGACTCTACTCACCGGTCACATTCTAGGGTTGCAAGCTACTCTTACTATTACATCTACTACCATTTGCATGATGTTTGTCTGATACGTTCTTCCTTGGGATTACTTTCACTGATAGGATTTATATTGGACTTATACTGAAATAATACTGAAACCAGGTATTAAGAAGTCCAGTCAAACGAGGTCTTTGTTGGATTCAGTATGAGTCTGACTGTCATAAGCGTTTACCTTGTCCTTATAAACACTATTTTTCACATGTTTATGAATAATGTCAACATCAGAGCGTAGTATTCTAGAGATCTCTTTCATTAGTTACAGATCTAAGTGACAGCAGAATAAAGCTTTAATCATATAAACTAAAATGAAAAAAAAATGTTTGATTTTTTGAATAACTTCGTCCGAGTTTCATTGTAAAAAAAAATAATTAAAATGTTTTTAAAATAAAAAGTGTACAATAATTTTAGATGATGTTTTTAACATCATCAATAAAATTTTATACATGTATATTTGGTGTTTAGCTCAATTGAAGTAACTTCGTCGACCGGTGTAACTTCGATACGACAGATACATTTCATTTTGAAATAGCTATTCAACAGTTAAATGAAAAATTCATAAAATTAAGATAAAAACATCAAATCTTAAACTACTGTCCAATTATATTTGTAGTTTAATGTGAATTAAATTCAATTAAGAAAAAAGGAAATCTTTTGAAATAATTTGAAGCAGTTCTAAACTCGCTTTAGTCAAACGATTTTTTTTTTCAAAATTGTAGTTCGAAATCGAAAAAAACTAAATTATTTGTTTATTGAATTTGATGTGCATTCTCTAATTCTTTTCGTCTCACGTTAGTAACGTTGCAGATGATTTTCTGTTTAGTCGTAGTTTGAAAAAAATTTTAATGATTTCAATTAGCATTCAATTCAGAACAAAATGATATGATCCAACTTTTTCAGAAATCGAAAAGATAATTCAGATATGATCTTTGACGAAGGATGTAGCTGTCAGTATGACTGGGAATGGGAATGCGTGGTTAAAATGAAAATCCATACTCAAATCGATACCCATTCTATTAATACAAACATTATTTGCAAGTGAAAAATGCTTCAATCAAGTCATTCAAGTTTACTCTTAAGAACCAAAGGACACATTGTTGATCAATGTCTGTATGACAAATATGCTAGTTAAAAAGAAATAGAAATAGTACTATAGCAGACAAATAGACAACATGAACGTGATAAAGATGTAATCATTGAAACTTGATTATTTCTTCTGAGTAATATTGAAGAGAGGGTGAGTGTAGGTGCAGGTTTGGCTGCTAGTTTTCCCGTAACCTGCAGTCGCACCCATCCCACGCACCAGTACCCGCACCCAAACCAACATCTATCCCCCCACACATCCACATCCATTGCTCGGACTTGAAAGTCGATTCATTTGATGCAGAATCTCATTCAACATCGGATTAAGCTCTTCCGAGTCTTTAATTTCATTTTCAAGCGTTTCTATGAAGGAACAATTCGTTCTGACCGTATGGTCAAGACACTGATTGATTTGATATATTTTGTGTTGCTGTGATTCAGCGACGTTTGTAAACATTTTTTAGCTGGAGGGTTTCATTTCTCGCAATATTTTATGTGATAGAGTTGTATGTGTAAACTGAACGCAAAGAGGAAAGAAGAAGAAAAATGCATGATAGAAAGTCTAATTCGTGGTGTTTGGTTGCTAGTCTCAACCATGTTCACTATTTCATCCTCTGCGAGGATACTTTTATGCTTTACTTTATCTATCTGATTGATTTTATAGCCAATAGATTTTTTTCTTCATGGTTATCCATCATGTTGTGGTAGTTTCTTAGGCTCTGAAAAATGTTTATATGTCAGTTTTTTAGAGTACTTTAGGAAATATTGAAGTCACATGGCGATATTTTCAATAAGTTATTTTTGACGAAAAATTAAAAAAATAAAAACTGTGCTGAACTGTTTTCCTCCATTTTACAATAGTAAAGATTCCACCCAATAAGTCTTATCTCAATGTCGGAGTTTTCTATGTACCAATCGATAATAATGGCCACCCAAAGCGAGCAATTCATGATGTGTTCCATTCTCGACAATGACTCCATTGTGCAACACACAAATGACATTTGCATTCTGTATGGTTGATAGACGATGTGCAATTGTAATCGATGTTCGATTCTGTTGAGCACGATCTAGTGCATTTTGAACTATCTTTTCACTTTCACTATCCAGAGCACTGGTGGCTAAAGAACGACAACAAATAAGTACGATAAGTGAACAATTTTATTACCTTCATCAAGCAAGAGAATCTTTGGATTTCGAAGTAATGCTCGAGCAATAGCTAAACAATTGCATTTTATTAAAACACTATTTTAATGTCTAGAAATTGAACTCACCAATTCGTTGTTTCTGTCCACCAGATAGTTGAATGCCTTTAGCGCCACAATTGGTTTCATATCCCTTTTTGAAAAATAATCAATGAAATAAAATACTCAATAGTCGATATCGTTTATTTACATCGGGAAGAGTTTGAATGAATTCGTGAATATTCGCATTTTGTGCTGCTTGAATAATTTCTTCTATTGGAATATTAGTTCGACTATTGTCGCCATAGGCAATATTTTCTCGAATTGACATATCAAATAGGATCGATTCTTGTGAGACGATACCAACTGATGACGAAGAAGAACAAGAAAAATAGCAGATTGCAATACACACTGAAGAAAAGAGAATATTATACGTACTCTGCGATCGATACCATTGTAAATTGAGACTTCGTATATCCTTCGAGTCAGCCAACTGCAAGCAAGAAAATCATAGATAAGTCGCAAATAAGCTGAATTATGAATCAATTTATAAATCGGAACTTGAATTATTCATCTGAACACAATCTACGAATCTAGATCTAATTTTCAAACCGAGCACTGGTTAGTTAACTGACACTGTAAGAGTTTGATTTTATGACTCATGGCTAGGATTAAGCAGTGTGATGGAACATCAACAGAACAGACGACACGCTCCCATTATAGTAGAAGAGATATTTTCTCTCCGTCTTACGGAAGTAACAGACGCTCAACTCAGATGCTGAAATCGACATGAATCAGCTAACGCAGAAGAAAATCAAATTGATCTGTCATCGAAATGAGATCGGTAAATGGGTCACGTGTAATTATGATTTGGCATTAGTCTCTCATACGTTCGTGATAGGTTGACTTAAAGAATCGAATTCTAAGCAGTAAGCTATTACCATGCAATAACTAAATGTGGATTGTGAAGGGCTATAAAATTCGGAGCGATTTATGACTTTCGTACTGACTTGCAAATTTTTGCACCGATCTGTAAATATCGCATCGATTTATAACTATTTTGACTTTTTACTAATTTCTATCAACTTTTTATTTTGTAAAAATCATTTTGAACTTATCAATGAAGAAAATAGAGTTCGAATTTAGTGGAGGAAAAAATGCTTACCAGACAACCAGCGGATGCATCATAGAAACGCTCAATCAATTCAATACTTGTCGACTTTCCACAACCGGATACACCTATGTTTCGCAAAATCTATTTATGATAATAATGGCACGAGAACAGAAAAGATAAGCTTACCAACGAGTGCCGCATGTTGACCTAGAAGAACAGAATCAAAGTTGGAACCAAACAAAAACGAGAACATAACACATACCAGCCTCAATTTTAAGATTGAAATTTTTCAGAATTATTGCTTCGGGTCTAGTTGGATAAACGAAATGAACACGATTGAACTCGAGTTGTCCACTAAAGTTAAGCTTTTAAAGACATAAAAGTGATTAATTAAAATCGATCATGATAACTTACAATTTCATCTCCATCACTCGATCCATTATCGATCAGAGAATTTCGAGCAAACAGTTCCATGATCTTCTCACCAGCATCTGTTGCTTTTCCATAATCCGGAGCTCTAGATTAGAGTCAATATCATTTCTATGCAATTCATTTCGAAGACTTACAGTGAAGCGGTCTGACCCACACTTTCAGCACTGAATACGATGCAATTGAAAACTCTAAATAATCGATAGATATATGTTTGCTCAGAGAATAAACTCTTAACAAGGGCTTGTTCATCGTCTTACAATAGAACATCTTCAAATGAGATGGTGCCTTTTTCGACAAGATGGGAACCGAGTGAAAAGAGAGCTGCCATTACAAAATAACTAAACGAATTAGTTAGTGAAAAGAATATACCAAAAATGTGTGCTCGTTTCAGTGATGATCTACGAAGACAATACGTAATTATAGATCAATATATCGATATATAGAAAGAATATTATACCGATAGGGAATTATAAGATATTGAGAGTATTTATTGGCAAAATGATCTTCGTTTGTCAGTTGTACCACTGTCCGAATATTTTGAATGGCTTCCATAGCCACCTACAATATATACCATTGGCAGAATGCGAGTAATTATAAAAAAGAATTATCGAACTTTGCCAGCATCTTCCAGAGCTTTCCTATCTTTACTCGAATAGCCGATCATCAAGTGATTTTGGAGAGAACTTCCGATAATCACAAATGGAAGAAAAACGAGTATGAGTAACGTCAATTGCCAAGAAAAGACAAAACCAATTATAATAGCAGTGCCTAGTGCTGCAATATTTTGAAACATGATACCCATATATACACCAGTGGCACCTTGTACTGCCGACGCTTCATTTGCTAAACGTGTGCATAATGCTCCTGTACTATTGTTTGGATCATCAAAAAATGCAATTTCCTGACGAAGAATAGTACGAAATATTTTTGCACGTATTCGTCTAGTGAGTGTTTCGCCAGAATAAGCAAAGAAAAAACTCTGAATGATAGAAAAATCTTGAGTAATTGAAATAAACGAAATACGTACTTGAAGGAACATGGCAGTAAAATAGAGAATTCCAAAACCCATAAACAGAAGTACATAAAGTAGAACGCGTCGTTCTTGTTTGTCTTTATCACATTCCTGAAAAACCTTTAAAAAAAGTCTGACTTTAGAATCAATATCAAACGAAGAATTCGTACTGCGATTAATTTGCTCAGAACAAAACCAAGTCCTGGCACAATAGCACCATTGCAAATACATGCTATACATCCAATCGCAATAAATAGCCATTCTGGTTTATTCATTATTAGCATGGCTAAAGTAGCGTTCAGTTTTTTCTCCTATACAAATTCCCTCTCATTATTGTACTCTCAACATTTTTCTCTCTCTTCATTACTTTCTTCTTCGTCCTATTGGCTTCTTCATCGTTCGCTTTGAAATCTTCATACATGCTTTCATTCATCTGCTTTCCATGATTAACCATTGTCGAATCACGATTAGTTCTTTCATCCAAATGTTCATCATCGACTTGACTGGCAAGAATTGGTCTCGTCATTTCATGTCGTTCAAATTCTTCTTCGTTCATATGCAAATTTTGTGCTTCAACAAAACCATAGTAAATCCCTCGATTGTGCATCAACGAATCGTGATTGCCCTCTTCAACGATTTCACCCTTGTGCATCACGACAATTTTGTCAGCATTACGAATTGTTGAGAGACGATGAGCAATGACGAGTGTTGTTCGACCTGACAAAGAAAAAAAATCGATTTCTCTCTCTTTCTCTACTTACAAGACATACCTTTAGCAGCATAATATAAAGCTTCTTGCACTAGTTTTTCACTTTCATTATCAAGTGCACTAGTAGCTATACAAATGGAAAAGTATAGTGAACTTGTAGAAAAAAGATTTACCTTCGTCGAGAAGCAATATTTTTGGATCTCGAATGAGTGCACGAGCAATGGCTGAAAAACATGTTAAAGTAACGGCAATGTCTAAAAAATTGTCTCTTACCAATTCTTTGTTTTTGTCCACCTGATAGTGCCGCTCCTCTTTGGCCTACTAGAGTCTCGTATTTCTATCGTATCCAACAGATAGAGATAAAGAAAAAAAAATGTGAAACATCTTACTTCGGGCAAAGTCTTTATAAAATCGTGTGCATTGGCCATTTTGGCTGCCTCTTGCACTTCTTCATCGGTGGCAGATCTTCGTCCAAATAAGATATTTTCACGAATCGTTGTTTGGAATAAAATCGGCTCTTGGCTAACCACACCAATTTGTTGTCGTAACCATTTTAAATTGTATTGATCCACTCGATTGCCATCAATAATTATTGAGCCCGAATTCGAATTGTAAAATCGTTGTAACAATTGAACACATGTCGATTTTCCTGAACCCGACGCACCGACTAGTGCAATAGTCTGACCATGTTTGACATCGAATGATATACCATTGAGTGCTTGAATACCGGGTCGTGATGGATAAGAAAAGTGAACATTGGAAAAGTGAATGTCACCAATGAGATGGTCTTTTTTTAGGCCTGTTTCCGAATCATTGATCGCCTTGGATGGCTGGCAAATCGAGTAAACAAAAACAAAGATGACTATTGCAAATAATTTTGCTTACCGCATCGATCACTTGCCACACGATAGAGGCAGCAACTTTTGCATCATTTAATGCTTGAAAATGTGGACCGGCTTGACCCAAATTGAAAATAGCAGTGATGATTGCAAGAAAGACCTAGAACAATTATGATTGTTTTTTAAAAACATTCATTAAACAAATAATTTTCATATAGGCAACTAACAAGAAGAACATTGCCAATTTTATAATTTTCTTCTCGAACTAACTTGCCTCCATACCAAAATCCTACGATAAATCGAATATAGAAATCATCATCAATAAGAACGAGAGTACCTAGTGCGTAGGAACAATAGACGATAAGCCACATGGTACCCAGCATAATACCGTTGACTATGCCTTTTTGAATGCTTCTTTTCTTAGCATTGTCCAAGAATTTTTCATACCTGCAATAATATGAATAATTTCATACATCATTACTGCTACTATTCAAACCGTTGTTGTTCTCGTTCTTGCCCGTTGTAGGATAGAACAGTACGAATTGAACTAAACACTTCTTCAGCCACTGCACCCGCCATTCCATAAGCCTTTAATTCCATTGTCGTAAAACTGATTGCAAGCTACAAATGCAAAGAGAGAAAGATCAGCATTCCAATAGTATATTGCTCAAGAAAGAAAAACCAGGATTTCAAATTTTAAGATTTCCAAAGATTTCTAGAGATTTTACTGTATTTTCTAACGAACATTTCTGAAAATTACATAATCTTACTTGTAATCTGATCTAAAAAATGACACTCATTTTCATCTGTCTAAGAACAAGGAAAGAAAAACTTGCTATCTAACTGTAAAAAAATCTTTAAAATCTAGAGAAATTCCTGAAAATCGTTCAAAGTTTCATAAATCTCTAGAACTCTTTTCTCGTTGACTTTTTATGTCCTCTACCTTTCGCATATAGTTGACGAGGACTAAGATATCATAGGCTTCTATCAAGCAAACAATTAGTAATGTGTTATGCATATGGATTCTCAAACGTAATCGTGTAAAGTCGATTATAGAAGAGATTGTGATCGATTTAGAGCTGTTCGGACCCTCTTTAGACAAGTTTCAATACGTTCTACCAAGGTCGACAGTAGGTTTACTACTAGGAATTTCTAACAATTAATGAAGATTGGCAGATTGTAAGGTTTTTTCGAGATTTTGAAGATTTTTGCAGTTAAAATTCAGCTTTTCCTCCTTGATATTGTCTCCGTTTTGAACGATTTACTTTAGAAAGAAGTTTCGTTGAAATAAAGATCAATGATGATATCGACAATATGACCAATGTCAGCTTCCATCCTTTGGCAAAACCTGCATTATCAATGTGTTATAACTTCTTTTCTGTATGTAAACTATAAACTTGCCGAGAGCAAAACCGGTGATGAACGAAGCCATGAATTGTGTTGCCGAACCGAGTTTATCACCGATGCCATCATGAATCATGTTGAGATCATCTGTAAAATGTGTATTGAGTTCACCCGTTTTATGCGTGTCGAAATAAACAATTTCTTTGTTGATAATCGATTGAAGTAGAGTCTGTCGAATGGTTCGAGTTTGTCGTTCAGCAGACACACACCAAAATGCCACTTGAAAATAACTGAGAGCAATCGTAGAAAATCCAATGGCTACCAAATACAGTGTTTGTTTTCGAATTTCACTTAAAAAATCAAAACTGATAACGGTCAAGTTCAATTCAGTAAAATTACATATTCTAAACACAATCATTTTCTCATATGGGAACATTTCGGAAAATCATTGTTTCTATTCTTACGAAAATGACATGTAAAAATTGGTTGATGTCAATTCGACGCCTGGCGGACAATAATCTTCGGAGAGAGCAGTCAAATTGACTGAACATAGCTGAGCTGCTCGGTCAGTGAATGTATTGAGGAGATATCCAAAGATGAGAATGAGCAGTGGCGGAGCAATGCCATTACCAAGAGCTGCAATAGTGCCAAGTAACATGTAGAACATATCGACTGGTGTAGCATATCGAAACTAAAAAGCACACATAGAAATCTTTTCATCAAGCAAGATTGTATCTGCTGGTCTCTCACCAAGCTTTTCAGGCTCACTGCTTTAGTAGGCCTCTTATTCTTTTGTTGATCCCGAGATATTTGCAGTAAATTTTTGCTAGTGATCGTTTTAGCTATTGAGGACTGGATTCTACAAAAATAGTCCAACGGAAATTGAGTTTAAACTGAATCGATATCTATCATACTCATTGTCTGCGATGCCATTTTGATGCTCGTCAACAATTGCACTTCCATTTTTCACAGATACATTAGGATTCTGAGACAATTTTAAAACATGCTCTTCCATCGCACACTTTCCACGTTAGAACTTCTTGAATGATTTGACAAGAGAAAGAAGTCTGAGCTCTGGAAAGAATGTCCTTCAACTCTTTACTTGTTGCTGTTTAACATTAATTTTTTCTTCTTGCTCCTTTCACCACCTAGATGCGACTATTTATGACGTTTGACTAGTTGAGAGAGTCATATAGTATGATGTATTTCGCTGTATTTTTTTCTCTCTCCGGAGTTCTGATAAAATAAATACATGATCACGACACGCATAGTCAAATGACCAATCGGGGATCATATGCCCATGTAAAAATTTATCCTTGATAATCACAAAATAATCGATTATAATAAAATAATACTATAAAATATCGTGACTTGACCGATTATTTTTGATTATAAAGGATTCGTAGTTGAGTTGAAAATCGATTATAATTACCAATATGAATCAAAGAAATCGACCTGAAATCAATCACATTCAATTGCTTATAATCGAGAAAAATCGATTATAATCGAAGATGATCGATAAAATCAATCAAGTAACGATATTTTGGTTTATTTTTTGACTATAATCGATTCATATATGCGTTGTCACTTGATGACGAAAGTCGAGGGTGTGCTATATTACGTATATATTTTCTTCATACGTAAAAAGAGACATGCAGTACGACTAGCTCTTCTACTCTCGTCATTAGATGACAACACTGCGTTATCCATGCATGAGACAGCAGGGAGTAAACAGAGGGTAAAAAGGTATTTGACTAGATCTTTCTCTTTTTCTCTCAGCTATCACAGGGTTTCATCCGATCTCGCAAATTTGAACCGTGCTGTAATCCAACCTGCTCTGGATGAATCCAAACTGTTTCTGATGACGTCGATCAATGTTAAGTTTGGTTAGAACGAATTTTTCAAGTAGATTTAGCGATGCTAGAACAAGGGAATATATAATTAGAAAGCAATGCACGTACCTAGGCTTGATTCGAAGCACTCAGAATTGTAAAGGATAGAAGGTGATCAATGGTTTTTGGGAATTATCATGAAACCACTAGTAGTAGTTGAGTGCCCTGAGTTTTGAACTTTTGAAGAATTCGTAACTCAAACATCAATCAAAAAAATATGCAATCAAAAAGCACAACTAAATAAAATCCAAGAACTATCACAACTCACTGAACCTAATGAACTCTCGAAACCAAAGGAACTTCCAATAGTTCTCTACCAATGTCACATATCCAAGAATCGAGAATGCATGAGATGCAGTGCGTAATGAGAGATACAGAAATATGAATTGTTATATACTATCAATATACTATGCTTATATATTAATCCACCTTTGAACTATACCTCTTAGATTGTCTCTTCAGAAAATGCAAGCATCTCCTGCGTCTCCATTTATCCTCATCTCAAGATTAGCTTTTTTTTCTCAATTTTTAACCTGGAGTCCTTGAGAAAACTAACAATTACATGCTAACACACCCAAGGTGCTTTATCTGACTGAGGATAACGGTGGAAATACATATACACGCAACATTATGACTTGAATGAGGGTGACGGCAGATATACGTACATACACACAACTAATATTACTTTGCCTGAGGACGAGGGTGGCTATAAGGACAGACGAAGATGTTTTTATTTATCATTCGAAAAGATTTAATAAATGTTCACATTGAATTTGAATTGAGACTGTATGTCAACAGCGTAGTTGGTTAAAGCGTCTGACTAGTTACCAGTGTAGATGCTACTTTGGTTCGAATTTCAGTTGATACTACATGTAATATTTTTTTTCTTTGTGTTTCATTCTTTTCGAGTAGTGGATAATAGCCATTATATCATTTTTATTCGAATCATGAAGAAAAAAGTCCTTTCATATATAATTATATATAATTGTATAACGTTTCATCGTTCCAATACAAAACTTTCTTTTGGTAATCTTTGTTTTTCATTAGTATGGCTAATTATAGTTCTCAAAGAGTTCAAGAATATATTAATGATGACAAACATCAAATAAAGTCAGAATTGACAGGAAAGAAACTTGGATCAACGGCATTACGTCATATTTTTCAAGGTGAAATTGAAGCAAATACTTCTGGTATCGTAGTAGCTCAAGGTCTGCATTCACTTGTTGAACAACCCAATAACGTAAAGATCATGAAAACAATCGAAAAGCTAGATAAAAATGGTGTCTATATAGTTAAACTAGCCATGACAGATTTAACAACAGGTAAAATTTATACTAAACGTTCAACAATGTTTCCACATACTTGGTCAAAACAGCGAATCATATATGAAATTGAATCGGTTTTGCCAGCAATAACAATATTTCCAGCAACAACATCTTCTAGCTATTGTGTTTTGAAAAAGACATCTTCAAATGGTATACCATTGAACATTATTTTTCAAAATGGTCTTCCTTTATCTGCATATCCAACATGGAAAAAGAATCGTAAATATGACTTTGATTAAAAAAATGGTCACAAAGAACAATAAATCTCTTTGAGATACTGTGAACACTTATTTGACATTCCTTGATTGTATGACTAATCCTTTGTAAATAAGGTTTGATACTGATACAAGATAAGATTATGGGCAAGGTTTTAACAATAAATAAATTGACTATCTCGGCAGTTTTGAACTGCTTCATTTGGATATTTCGACCTGTTTAGTCGGTCATCTTCAGCAAGCCAACGCTAAGCCTTTAACACAACCATACAGATCTCTTTCTTTTCTTTAGCACGGTTGTACACGAAACACAAAAACCAATGATCTATAACCTTTCAATCTGATTTTTTTTCATTCTGTGGAGCGTATTGGATGTAGGTGTGTGTGTGTGTGTGTATAAGTGGCTGTGTATGTGCTGGTGATTCTGAATATGGGTATGGGTGTGGAATGAGAAGGACAAAAATACCTATGTAGACAGCTAGATCCACATTCTGTAATCATATTTGATGATTTATCATTTCTATCGACAGTTAATAAGAGAAGATTTTTCATTATCTATGATAAAGGATGTGAGTGTTGATATTTTTGCCCTACTCATTTCACACTCACCTCATCATACCCACACCCCAAAAATGACCTCTATTACATGTTGTTTCGCTAATAGAAAACAAGAACAAAAATGAATACCCCACAAGCTAGTTGTAAACAAGACACATACTTATGATACCTATTTAAAAAAAAACATTTATTGTTCTTATAATAATAAAATGATCAATAAAGATCATAGTTATGAGTGTGGACCTCTAGATGGCATACACCTGACAAACGAACACGGTGTCCGCCAGGCTAAGTCAAAGTTGTTGGCTTCTGTGATGTATTATTGTTTTCCCTATGACAAGGTGAAATATAAGATGGTGCTAAAATCTCATGTTTTTGTGAAGGTATTGGTGTTAACCATCTCTTCATACATAGTCATCCACACTCTCCATACTGTGCATTTTTTTTTCATGACTGATGAATATGTGACTTTCTTTCTGAGAAACTGATTTCTTTATTCAGAAATGATTAGATATGATCTCAGAAGATACATTAGGTGGAACCCTTGCCTTCATTTGTTCGAGAAATGCTTCTAGGTAATATATAATATTTCATGCAATTTAAGAAGCTGACTCAGAATATACAATGCGGGTCGATTAACTATTTTTCTAAAACTAGAAATATCAAGGTTATTTGGAAATGCGCTATGCAGTTCAGATGATTCTGCACCAGAAACATTCTTTGCTTGTTCAAAATTCAAACGCTAGCAAAAAAAATTAACTTTCCACTCACACCGCGATTTTCACACTCCTTTTTGGCGAACTGATTTTTGTGAATCACGATCTAAAAGCGGCGTTGAAGTATATAGAGTAGAAGTTTTTACCTTCCTACACAAACCAAGACAACAGCAATACGATTGAAATGTTGAAAACCATGGCAAATAGTGTCAACAAATCGTCACAAATATGAAAGACATCTTAGTGGCGTCTCCCCTTCATCACAAGCCCTGCCAGTTACCTCAGCACCATTCCCTCGAATTCTATACAAGTATAAACGACGAGCAGATGAACGGAGGACAAAAGAAGTGACAGCAAGTCACGAAATGGTATGTCGTAAAGTTTCAGAAGTGTTAATAAAAGATAGCAATAACCAATACAAGTGTCCTGGCTATAAAAAAGAGATTTAAATAACAGGAAATCACGAACTACGTGAAAATATGTGTCAAAACTAAAGATTGAAATAAGAAGAACCAAATTAAATAATTAAACAGCGAGAGAATTTTGAAGAATCTGTTGAAAGTAAGACTTGAAGCCGAACGATGGATATCATTGTAACTTGCCAACAGAAGATGGTAAACTGATTAATCCACTCTCAACTCTCAATAGTAATCAGTTGAACAGTAGTTAAAGATTACAAAGCTATAACTATTTTTGTTAATTTTACTTTTTGTGTATTTCTTGTATTTCGCTTGACACTGGAGATGGTTTATCAATAATGTCTCGTTTTAATACATAAACTACTTTCTTATTGCATTTCTGGACAATCAAGTAAAATGACGGTAAAGAAATGTGTCACAAAACAGATAGAATAACATAACCTTCATGTGATTAACAAGAACAGCTACATCATGTTACACATTTTAATCCTACAGAGATTGCGCTAACAGCTTTTTTAAAGAAAATCCTTCTGAAAATACTTTACAGTATCTCAATTAACGTATTTTAAGCAAAGACCTAAAATGAAAAGGAAAAGTGTGAACTGAAGTTTAGACAAAAAAAATATATTTTTTACAATTTATTTAAATAAATTTTTGATTAAAAAAAATCCAGAATAAATGATTCAAAGTCACTGTGAAAGACATGATGTTCTATTTTAGTTATGATAAGTTGTAAGTATTAGCCGATCACTAACAATTAAGATATGAAATGGCTTTATTGTGACTCTCTTAGTGGATACAATAAGTTTATGGTAGATTGTTTTTGAATGTCATAAGTAGCAAGAAAGTGATCGTCTTTTATAAAAGGAAAAAGATAAAAAATATATAAAAGAAATAATGATTACCGTTGAGACATTTGCCCATCAATGTGAGACGCTGTTGATCTGTCGGAATCCCTAGCCTCTCTTGAATTTTACGTTTAAGTTCCAAAAGTGTGTTAGATGCTTCAACCTGAGAATTTTCTCAAACCAATGTTTATGAACATTCGTATAAGAGATATTTTACCGTTACAAGGATTGTTTGTCCAGTTGGTACCTATAAATAAACAAAATACAATATATAAATAAAAGATTTATTGTAATTATTATTTCAAACAGCACTTAATTACCTTCACAAAGATTTGAAAAGGACTTTTGTTTTGAGGTCCTTCTAAATGATTTTGACTAATGGAAGCTGCTTGTAGTGGTTCGTTATTATTTCCAGTACGTTGTTGTGTTCTTAAGAAATTTGAATTTCGTTTTTATTCCATAGTTTTGATTTAAAAACATATTATAATTAACATGATGTACCAAGAAATGAATATAGTATCTCAAAGCTTAGAAAATCATCATATATAAGTACTCATAGAAAGCCATTTTGAAGAGTCTCTATTCAACAATTTTAAATCTAGCAATGTATAACACATTCTGTTAGATATTAGCCTGCAAATTTCAATGGTGAGATATGCATAAGTTCTTCTCAGATGGGTATGGTTTTTTTTAAATTATGAAAGAAATGTTTGCAGCCAGAGATGAATTGCAAAATTTGATGTGTACTACTGTATATATGGATTCTCTTATGAAGAATAGTATGATCACTAGTGAGCGGTTAATATACATTTTTGACAATATATATATTTTCCTTTTAGTGCGACTCTATTTCTTTCGTATCAAATAAACAATAAAAATTGATTTATTACATAAATTTGATTTGTATAAAAAAAAAAAAAGTTTCATCTTTATAAGAAAAGTTTTCTGCATTATTGAAAGAGATTATAACATTTACCTGAGGCCAGAAGTCGATTGAATGACAAAATTATCGTCGATAACTAATGGATGCAAATTAATTTGAATTTTTTGAAGAGCACTGATTTCTTGTTCGATCAATCGAATATCATTAGACAATGAATCAATATTTTCACGAGTAGCTCCTTGCTTACGAATGAGTTGATCCAAAATATCTCGTGCTGCATGAATTTTTTCCAATGGTTTATTCTTTTGTTGTTCAAATAATTCATGACGCTTACGTTCGTAAGATTGATCGACAGTTGCATGAGCTGAAATGCGCCATTGTTCGAGTACTTTAAAACTGGACAAAGAAGTCGGATCGAAATGCTCAAGACCATCCAAAAATGTATTGATCTGATTAGCAAGTGGGATCAATTGGGCATTAAGTTGGTCTTTATGTTGTTTTAAATGGTCAAGGCATAAATCATTTTGGCAACAATGGCATACAGCACACGAAAAAACTTCACATTTTTTAATCGCACATGCTCGAGTTTGCAACGCCATTGTTACGTTTGATTACTTGGAAAAAATGACGTTAGGAACGAAAATGTCGACACAACTTGTAAGTGCACCTGTGAAATCTTTATCCAACTATACTTTATTTTTATTTATCTATCTATATTTTTTATATCTCTCACACAACAACGTAACGCTATATATAGAGTAATAATAAACAATGAACAAAGGAGGGAAATATCCATAGGACAACGTGAAAGAAAGAAGAACGAATGAGAAAACTCCAACACATATGAAAGAAAGGAAAATCATTGGTGTATGACTAACAAAAGAGAAAAGAAGCAGAGCACAAGTTTATATGGGTCTNCCTGATTTTGGACTCTCGAAATCACTGCCACACTAACCGCTTACATGCCCCTATGCCTACGGGTTCCCACATGGAGAATTCATCGATCACCTCATTCCGTCGTGGTAGCTTCACGTCGTGCTAACTTCACATCGATATGCTTTTTTACAATAATTTGTTGTTTCTATGAGCAAAGACCTAATTTTTGGTCAGTTGTAACGAATAGCTTGAGAGCAACAAGCCTATAGAATACAAATATGCGCATTCTTCCGCCAAATAAAGTAGAAATTGAGAATATTCCCTTACCGTTCCTAATAACATTCGAGACGCTTTGAAGAGTTTCTACATTAATTTCTGTTCAAAAAGTCATTTGTCTACGAAAATGAAAGTGATCAAAATGATATGAAAATGATGACAATCCTTGCAAACTTTTAAAATTAGCGATACCGCAAAAGATGTTTTGCAATAAGAAATGATGTTCTGGAACGAAGAAAAACGCCCATATTTGAATTTTCACTCATGGAAGATCATATTGATGCGACATGTTGTCTTTGGCAAGCGATCTTGAGAAAGAGAATAAATAATGGATTTGTTAATTTCTCATCGTCTTGCTGACCTCACAGATCAAACATTGCTGTCCTTGGTATGGAATTCTATCCCACTGTCGTGAAACACATCATTCTAAGATAATATGACCTTCTTATGTGCTCACTTACATGCTCGCCCGTCATCAAAGAAGTCAGATTATTAGTCAACTGATGGATTGCTAAGACACTTTCGGCTATGATCTCACCTTAAAGTAAAACAACAATACTTTACTCCTCCGCAGAGTCTTGATCATCGCCAGTCAACACTAAATCTTACTGAGAACAAGAATATAAATTTAAACTGCATTATTCATGAAGCAATTTTTAGATACACACTTGAAACAAGAAAATAAAGAGCTATTTTGCGCATTGTTAGCATAATATTCTAAAGAATGAAACAGCATTCTGAACAGATAATGCTCGCCCAGGCGACATTGATCTGCTCTACATGCTTTCCTTGGATGAACACTGAAAATGAAAATACATCTGACACATATTGGGATTTCATGAGCTCTGAACTCTTGAGGATTTCAGACTTCAAGTATTAATTGAAAATAGACAGCCATAAAGCACAGCTAAAGAAATCTCACAGGCTTCACAGAACTTCAGAAATCTCGAAACACTTGAAATTTACGGACCTTAATGGACCTAAACAATGCAAGAAGATATTTTTCCAGTCGATTATACTAAACTTCTTAAACAGTCTTTTGTTCTGAGTTATACTGCCCTACTAGTGACACTATTCGCGCTGAGTCCTATCCCGGTTTCGTCGCTCAGCAAATGAAAACACACAGTTGTGTATTTTCAATTGATTGTGTACTTTCAATACAAGCAGACTCAACGACAATTCAATCCATCTCTGCAACAACAAGCACAGACAACAACACTTTATCGTCAGTAACAACATCTAGTGTAAACAACACTACCTCGTCGACAGTAACGAATAATTCAGTTTCAGCAACACACACAGCCACGTTGACATCTTCTATCTCAACGTCTATTACAAGCTCTTTGTGCGGTAATTGTACTTTTTTCTGCCAAGTCCTATTGAATTCAATGGCTGACTATTTTTCATCTTTTCATTCACAATAGGTGTAAATATGCAATGGAATGCCACAGGTGTTACAGTTGCGGGTGTTACCGGTGTGAATGGTAGTGCTCTCAATAAACTAAGTAGCCCAATGGGTATTTATGTATATCCGAATGATAGTTCACTCTATATCGCCGATATGGGAAACCAGCGCATCGTTAAATGGTTGTCGGGTGCAGTGAATGGTACAATAGTGGCTGGTGCTACGGCTTCACCAGGTTTGAATCCCACTTCTCTCTCCAAACCTAATAGTGTCTTTGTTGACTCGATGCAAAATATGTACGTAGTTGATTTGAGCAATGGTCGCATTCAATTTTTTCGTAATGGCAGCACCACAGCTACTACTGTTTCTTCAAGCTGGACCACAAAACCGGACAAACCTTCCTGTGTATACGTGATGAACAATCAGATATATGTTTGCGATAATGGTCTCAATGTAATTTTACGAAATGGGTCACAAGCGGCAGGTAAAGGTGCTGGACCTGCAGGTGAAATTCAGCATTCCCAAGGATTAGTTGCTGACGAGAATGATACGATGTATATTGCGAATATGGATCACCATGTCATTGTCAAATGGCCAGCAAGTACCTCTTACACATCTGCAGGTACCGTAGTCGCTGGTAATTCGGTTGGTACAGCAGGATCAACCAGTAACTTGTTAAACACACCTACTTCTGTAACACGTGATTCACAAGGTAATCTATATGTTGTCGATCAAGGTAATCATCGTATTCAATTGTTCTGTCAATATCCAACACCAAATACAAGTGGAATAACCATTGGTGGCATTGGAACACCTGGGTCGACGCCAACTGCATTATCAGCACCAACTAGCGTTGCACTCGATTCTTCGCTGAATGTGTATGTAAGTGACACAGGCAATCATCGGATACAAATGTTTCAACGCATTGCTTGAAATTCTCATCGAACATATAAAATGCTGACGCTTTCATTGATTGAACCTGCTACGATTTCGTGTACTTTTAACAATTAACCTATGATTGTTTTTAAAAATTATTCTAAACTAATATTTTATTCCTCTCGAAAGAATAATAATCATGTATGTATATAAGAAATGCTTTGCCATATGACAGCGCGGGTGTGGGTGTGGGTTTGATTGAAGATAACACCCACACCCACACCCTCTGTCGACCATCTATTCACTCATCCTCGTGTTGCAGCTGGCACCAAGCTATTTTAGTTTCGAAAAAATTCATGTGTCTCTAAATGTGAAAGTTATGTAAAAATCTGCTAGCGTCAAGAATTGTACCTAACGCGAATGTGTCAATTATAAGCTAAACTACAGCAAGGCAGAAAATAATAAGAAAGATAAGAGAGTATGTTTTTTTTATACGTCTATTTGAGCTTTTCGATGAAAATTATTATCTATCTTTTGCGAGACTTCACGTGACAGTTGATAAAGGTAAATTATACTACATATAAGAGCAAGAGAGTGACTAGAAGTCAGTGTTTACAGTTAGAAGCTTTATGATTTTAACAAGTATTTTGTTGTGCTCGCTTTTGCTGTGTCCTAGCATACACAGTTTTGATGCCGGATGGACTAGCAGTTTTTTATGGTCGGAAGACTCCACCCACTATTCGATGACTGAATGTGCCATGCTCGAAATGGCTTCTGAGTACCTGAAAGTAGTTTACGGCATAACATCTGTGCAATCTATCATTAATACCGAGTTAGGTCGATGCGATGTGAAGGTTATTTATAAAGCAATCAATAGGGAACTAGAGATGCTAAGGATTGACCAGGAACGTTTATTGTTAGCGATTGAAACTGTCGCCGAAGCGAACAAAAAACGAGATTTAGTCGAATTAATGAACGAAGCAACTCATTTCGATGGTGAGAAATTTGACGATGGTGCCCTGTTAATATCTCAACGATTGGATGCAGCAGTGTCAAATACCAATATGCAAGAATATGAGAAGGCAAGAGCAGATTTTGGCTCTTTACTACATACTGTGCAAGATTTTTATAGTCACTCGAATTGGATTGAAATTGGACATCGAGAACCAAATAAGGGAATCGGAAAATATCAAATTTTGGGCAGATATGCATCAAAAGAAATGCGAACATGTGTGGATTGTGTAGGTGACTCATGTCAAAATAATATTGAACCATCATTAAATGAAAACAACGTATTAACTAGTGGATACTTTAGTGTTAATGTCATAGGTCATTTATTCAATACGAATCTAAAACCTACCGGAAAGTGTAGCCACGGCGGTTTGTCAGATGTAACTACATTCACAGATGCCAAAGGAGGTGGCATCAACAAAGACACACTGAAATCCGATCACGGTTATCTACATACCACAGCAGCGGCTGTCGCATACGTTGCTACAAAGCAAATATTTCATGAATTTTGGGAAAAAATTGGGAACGCATCATTCGGACAGTTTATTGGCTTGTCTGAAAACCTACGTAATCTATCATCGAATAGCTTGATCATCGTTATGGATACCACTGCTAGCATGGGACCGTATATTGCCATGGCCAAACAGATTGCTATTGGCATTGTGAATATTCACCAGACATTAGAATACAAACCGTACAATTATATTCTGTCACCGTTCAATGATCCAGCATGGGGACCATTGACGATAAGCCTTAGTCCGGAAGAATTTAGAAATAAAATTGGTTATCTTGCTGCTAGCGGCGGTGGCGATATTCCAGAACTATATTATCATGGAATTCTCGATGCACTCAAAGTCTGTGAAATCGGATCCTCGCTCTATGCGTTTACTGATGCATCAGCGAAAGATGCCTATTTGAAGAGTCAAGTTATACAACTTGCAAAAGAGAAGCGTGTCACCATTACATTATTCTACGCAAGAAACTCGCGAAAGCGTCAAATTGGTGATGTAGGGACTAAAGTTGGTGATATTATTGAAGATTTATCCATTAGTAATGGTAATGATCTGGCATCCATCACTGGTGGTGTAATCATGAGTATCAACGCTCAATCGTTGAATGTAACACAAGATTATATCATTGATCGTCTTGACGTCAATAAACACAAGACCATCATTTTTGCAAGAGGAGCCCGTTTGAATTTGACATTTTACGTTGATTCATCAATGAAATCACTACGTATTGAAGTAACATCCAGTAATTCTTTGACAGGGACTGACTTCCGCCTCATTAAACCATCGGGAGAGATTCTGTCACCAAAACCATCATCTCAAACACCATACGTGCTGATTTACACATTTCCGCTAGAACATAGTGATGTAGGACAATGGATGATCGATTCGTCTATGTCTGTTGTTCATAATGTTCAATTGAATGCTGTCAGCAACGTATCATGTTCATCAACACTACAGAAACAATTAGTTGACTCATCGTCGAATATCAGTTTCGTATCATTAACGAGTAAACCAATCCAAGGAGAAACAGATTTATATGTTTTGACTTTGTGCGATAATTTACCTTCGAGTCTTGTCACTGGTGAAGTGCATCTGATGGATGCCAACATGGGAACAACTTTAGCACGGATATTAACGCCAATTCAAGTTGCATCTACTGGTTTCCTATCAAAAATTGCCGTTCCCAGCGGTGATTTTCGTCTTAAAACAGTCGTTCATTTACAAGATGGCTCAATAGTTCAACGACAGGAAAAAAGTGTTATATCACCAACACCAATTTCATTAAGTATCGACAATCAGCCATATCGTGTTCTTCTTAATGAAACAGTAGTCATGAATTACACAATTTATAATCACGGTCAAAATCAACTGCAAATTAATCTACGTGTAAATGATGCCATCGGTCTTCTCTCCTCTAGTGGCATTCTGAAAGCTTATGACATCGCTGAAATGAGTAATATAAGCGACACAATTCAAATGAGCACAACAAAACTTAGTGAAATCAGTTCAAACTCTACTGCAATGACAGATTTAGTTGTATTTAGCATTGCCGCACTTACTTTCGAATATGACGAGACGGTATCGGTGTACATTCAAGAACAAAATGTTCCTCTCACAAACCAGACTCATTATCAAGAGCCATCGCGACCGCCACCAAATGGTGTTAACGAGCGACCAGGATTATTTCTGATGCAGTTTGTTTTAGTCTTCGTCATTGGATTTTATCAAGTTTATGGTTGAACAACCATTTCTCTACTTTCTTGAAACACTGGAATATTATAGAGAGACCATCAAGCGAATTTTTCAAAGCGAGTCTGTGATTAAAATTTTTTTCTTATTCAATAAAAATGCAAAAAAAATTATTTATCAAAAGTACTCTCTCGTATCTTCAAGAAAAAGATGACATAATACTAACTATATTGAAACAATTGTTACACAGAACGAATCATTGAAAAGAAATAAATAGATAATACAAAAGAATACGGAATCATAAATTATGAGCAAGATAGTCTATTTATTGCAGAATAGTGGGTTGTAGATACATAATTAAATGATGCAAGCATACACTATAGTCATGGATCACAGCATCCATCAAGATTTCAGTGAAGAAGTCGTTGTAAAAAGAAGGTCTCCCATGTAGTTAGTCAGAACACTGTGATGTATGCTATAACTTAAATACTTTTTACTTGAACGTGTTCGCCAGAATCAAGTTTCACCATTTAGCAGCAAATGAAATACTCTTCATGTTTCAAATTTTTTTTATAAACGTTCGCAGAGTAGAGTCGTGGTATTAAATAATTGAGTTTAAACGATGATGCCAAACTACAACTGGAATGCAAACATCCATTAAAGTATCATTTAATCTTTTATGCATATACTAGAACTCGACTTCAATCATTGATTTTAATCTTGTTTGTGTAAGACGTCTTTCTACATACGTGTCTCCAAAATAATAAAGTAACAGATGTGATTTATGTGGTAATGAATTAAAAACATCGCAGAAATTTTCATTAACATTATTTGGATAGAGAAAAACAAGATCAGCAATCTGATTAACATGATAAGCAAATGCAGAACCTTGTTCAAAGCTTGTTTTTAAACCGAATTCCTATACAGAAACAATTAAGATTAAATGTTTTATTTATAAATCAGACTCAAGTACTTCTTTACATTGAATACTTTTTGTAAATGAGAAAAGCAACCAGATACTGCAGATGGATTAGTTGTTGTAAATTTATCACCAAATACATTTATTGAGCATCTCTCGAAATCCATCATTATGAATTTTGCCAGCCACAAAGAATAATGTTCTCATAGTTTATCAATTAGACCTTGATAGGTTTGTTGATTCTTATTTGGTAATAATGCAAATACAACTGATATAACAGCATGTCGATAATCCATGTGCATAGCATATTTTCGATTAAAAATTGGTGGCGTTAACTAAAAGTTTGAATCTAATAAAGAATCTAATAATAATGGAAAAAATATATGAACTTTGAATGTGCCGTCAACTAATAATTCTTTACAACTTTTAAGAAGTTGTAATTGTTCAAGTGACGAAAATATTATAAAACGGTTACTGCCTAGATCAGAATCAAACTGTAAAATTCTATTGTTTCGTTTTGTTGTTGCTAACTTATTTGAAATGTGGCAAAATGCCCTGTCATGAAGAATTTTAGGTCAATTATTCGTTGAATAATTATTAATAACAGTTTATGCAACTTCATTACAATTAACAATGTGGTCACGACCGTTTCTTCAAATATTGAAACGGCATTTCTGGAATGATTATGATAATCATTTTCGTACAAGATTGCTGTATTTAAATAATAAGTCTGAACTTGACTTTCACATTTAACCCTGACATGAGCACCTCGGATCAACGTGGGCCCCAGCCCAGAGTTGCCACCAATAGGGCTTTTTCTTGGCTGTATTGGTACCACTTTAAACCGGTCAGATCGAACCGGCTAGTAGATCAGCATGAATCACTATAAAAATAACATAGAGCTCCTGCTTCACTTTCACGATACTTTGTAAAACATGATTGTTAATGAGTGTTGAATTATATTGCGAAAAATTCATTCCACCTTTCCCAGCTTGCTTCAAGGATCATGACAAACAGACCGATGTTCTTTTAACCTACAAATAGAGACTTCAATATGTCTGCAACGGTTTCGCTAGTTTTTCGACATGTTGATTTTCGGTTTCGTCATGATCTGACGTCAAAGTTATCCTTTGCAACGCCTTAGCTAGGCAGAATCTAGTATTAGCATGTGTTGATAGCATATTAGTTTGAGCTCATTTTACAGATGTCTCTCTGGCAATAAAACCCAAATACTTCATCGTGCTTCAGTGATACTCAAAAGTTGAAGTACAAAAATGATCTCAAACTATCATGCTCGTGATACACGTTGATAGTAGAACTGAAAAAGTTAAGAAGCTCCAGATGGTAGCTTTGGCATACTCTTCGAGTGCAATGAAGCACGTAGGGGTGGATGTGGGTGTGAGTATCGGGTGTTGGTATGATAATCATTCTTCTAATAACCACACCCACACCTAAGCATTTATTAAATGCATATACCTGTTTCATTTCGAACAAAATTAAATTAAATTTTCAAAAACGAAAAACGGATTTAACTCATATAATCATAATCAGGTAATACTGAATACACAAGAGAAATATTATGATATATTTTGAATTTTATTCTAATGCTTGCTTAGTTTTTATGAGTGCATATTACTATACCATTTACGACTCAGATACGTAAAACTTTGATTCAAATATGAATTAGCATCCAAATGAATTTCAATAACTATTGAATATATGATTCAATTGCTTTCTCATAATCAATATCTTATTATAGTGCCCTTGGAACAAATATTTATATAAAAACAAGATACTTTTACTTGTAAATGCTTCATTAACTCGTGTTTTTATTATGTCAGCTACATTTTTTCCAGCACTGATGCTTGCAAACTGCTTGTTTTTAATTTCTGTACATTAAATCTATTTCATTTGTGATTATTACTTGGGAAAATGTTCCATTTTGTTTTTCTCTTCTAAATAAAAATCTCAAGAAAATAAAAACTAGTTTATTGAATAACAAGAATTTTCGAATTCTTTAAAGTTCGCAAGAACAAATATCGTAAACTCGACGTTTTTTACATCTTCATCCTAGAACAGATTCTCACTTAAGAAATTTTGAACAAAACACAAAAAACACTATTCGAAAATATTATTTAGCTGTTTCACAAGATTTCATTAAAAAAATCAATAAAAGACAGAGATATTGAACAAGAATACACTAATGACAAGTATAAGAAAATTTTATGGAGACAGTAAACGATCGATATACTTTAGCTAATGGTTAGCGTTAATATGCGAATTTCCAATGAAATTCTGTACTTGTTTGTTAAAAGACTCGTTTCTTTGCTTTATTGGTTGACTATATGACATGTCGCTGATGATGTCTCAACATAGAGGGTAGATGGGTCTTCTTTTCATCCACACTCACCTTCCAATCGTGCATTAAAAAATCAATTGATCGTTTTAGACTATACTCAAATGATTGAGTTTATTGTTTGAATAAATATTGTTGGGAATCATCCTTTTAAAAATTAGTTCACTTTTTGCTATTGTTCATATCTGTATTTATTTTAAATGAAACAACTACAATTTGTGATTACCTAAATCAATCCTTAGCACGAAAAAAAAATGAGCTTAAATCAAATTCAAAAGGTTCTCTTTATTTATGGCATAGGCATACTATATAATACTTTATCGAAATCGCAAAAACAAATGTTGATAAGTGTTTTTTGAATTTTAAGCCCCCTCCCCCACTTCCTCAAAAAAGTCACTTTTCGTCAGAATCATCGAAATTGAGGGAAATAGCCCGTCATCTGCTCTTTCATATGCGACAAAAATTTTTATTCAGCATCTCTTTTTATTCAAAAATTTTAGAAGATTTTTGTCACCCCCTATTCGAAAAACAGACCGTTTTTACAAAAAACCGAAAATCATTTTTCGTTTTTCACAGAACGTCGGTTCAACGACGTATCTCTAGCAGAACTCCATTACAGTAAGAGGTAAAGTCAAATATTTTTTTTGTTTAAAAGCTTATGTGCAGGGCTAGCGACTCTCGTAATCCTTTTTTTAAAATAAGCTTTTTTATTATCATAGAAGATAACCTCTATATCGGAGCAGCGCAATTTTTAGAGAGGTTTTTTGAGTCATTGAACTTTCGCTCCGGTTTTTCCCCTAAAAAGTAAGACTTTAAAAAAAAGGGCTACGAGGGTCGTTGCATTCTGACATGCTCGTTCAAACAAAAAAAAACTAAATGTCTAGAATGAAGATCCACAGAGAAAACTTGGAGATACTAAAGAGTTATTTTTGGTCCTTGTATGGTGCATATCTCGGTTAAACATCGTGCTATAGGGCTGGAAATTTGATCATAGCCATGTCTCACCGGCCCCAACATATCCTGAAATTTTCATGTCATTTGAATGTTCCTGGGCTGAGATCCATTTTTGAGGGGGGGAGGGTGGCCTTAATAGGCCCTCAAAGATAAACATGTCTATCGTAACATCCCTTTCCATTAAAAAAAATCCGAAAATCCACAAATAAAAGAGAACAACAAAAATTTTATCGAAATAGTGATATTTTTATCAGGAATTAGCGATTAATTTTCGTTGATTTTTGTTGAGACTTTAATTTAAGTAAATACTTGAATTAAATGTTCTAGTAACCTGCACAACAAGATCACTGCCTTTTGCGATGTATTTTTGAATTACATTATTAGAAAATCTCTTTCTTTGACAATTGTTTTATATTTAAACTTCGAATAATTGAAAACCTTGCTAGTTTAGCAGACTCATTATACTTCTGCTGTTTTCGAAGGTTACACTCAAGAATGAATAAACCGATCTGTTTTAAAAAATCTAAATTGGCTCAAATTTTGTTATCATAAAAAGTAGAATGATAATAAGGCCTGTTCACTTCTAGTGATGTATTGAAATTTTAAAAACAGCTACATATATTTTGTTTTGCAATTCCGATAGAGTATTACATAACACAGCTTCTGAAATGTACCAAAGTCTTGCACCATATTGTTGAGTCATGATGTATACAACTTAAAAATTTCGCAACACATTTGCTACACTCAACAATCATATTTACGAATTCAAATGAATTCGATGATCGAACTTTTGAGTTTGTAGACAAAATTATTACTTCTGTTAATAAAAATATATTGATAAAATTATAGTGTCTTTTATTATAGTAATATAGCAGAATAGATTGAAAGAGTATGCTATATTATTTTTCGTATTGTTTAATGAAAAGAAAACCTTTTCAAAAAAAATTCATGCCACATGTTTGTTTGTTCTATCGCTGGCATATCATGTTATTTACTGTATAAACTACTGTTCGACTCAAAAGACATCATTCGTGCATTATTAATTATTTTAAATATTTTGTTTTTGAATCAACAAACGAAGTAGATCAGATTCTTCCCTGTACCGTTGGCACGACGTTAGGGCAGTTGTCACTAAGCATGAGTATCATACATGACTGAATCATCATTTTTCTTCGTTTGTGGTAAGTGAATACCCCTACAGAAGACTAAAGTATTCTATATTATTCATGTTTAATTTATACATAAATCACCAGCAAAATACGAGGGTGAATAACAATCTAAACCATTTATGATATAACAATCGATATCCAGCGCCATCTTTTGTATAAAGTCTAGTGCGTGAGTAACCATTATATATATATATATTGAAATCAACGTGACCTACAATCGTCTTTTTCAATAAATATTTTCTTTCTCTATTTATTCATATTAATTGTCAATTAATTGTTTAGTTTATGAATAAGATATGAATATAAACAAAAATTAGATTTGTAGAAAAAGCTAACGATAGAAAAAAAAAGAACACACAAAAAAACACTTCTGTTCAATTAATTATAATTCGCAATCATCATATCTTCGTTATTTTTCATTATAATAACGATAGTATTTGTTCTTTATAAAATTCAAATCAATTCTGAAGAATTCAGTGGCAAAACCATGCAACTCGAGTTTAATTCTTTTCATAATAGTTTACGATCAAATTCTCGGATAATCTAGCAAGATTGATATGTACTATTGTCATAATATAGTATGAATGCATTATATTTTTTTTATTTTTACTATTATTTCATGGCTAAAGTTTTCACAAGAATTCGTCAGATGAAAAAAAAAATAATAACGCAATAGTAATACAAAAAAAAA